TGAAGGTTAGGGACGAGGTGATGCTGGACCGATGCAACATCTTAACCAAGTGACCCTCAAATAAGCTAGACCACCAAAAAAAAAAAAAAAAAAAAAAAAAAAATGGGTCCCTTTGAGGTTGTCGGGAAACTTGGCGTCGCGTCCTACAGGCTGAATCTACCCACTCAGTGGAACATTCATGATATCTTCCATATATCTCTGCTGGACCCTCAACGAGCTATACTGCTTCCACCTCCGGATGAGGTTCAAGGGGAAGGCAGTTACGTTCTCAAGAAAATAGCCGATAGCCAATGACAGCAGGCTGGTCGTGGAAAGAAGTTCGTGCAATATCGGATTACCTGGGAGGGTTATCTCTCAGAAGACTCTTGGGAACCGTACAAATTGTTGTAAGGAATGGCAGACGAGCCACTCCGAGAGTTCCATGCGAAGTATCCCCGAAAATCATGGGACGCATGGTAATACAGGAAAGTGCGGGAAACCGAGACGACGGAGTGTTCTGGGATAAGCGTGGAGAAAACGAGTCTCCCCTTGTTAGGTCACACGTTTCACTTGAGGTTTCCTTTGTCAATAGAAATGGATGCAAAAAATAGAGTGTAACGGAGCCATTTCAACTGTCTGGTGTATGAGTACACACAGGGCCCGGTTACATGCTGAGAGTTATTGATAGAAGCCAGTTGCACATTGACATGCAAGTACCGGCAGTGTGGTTAGCTACCAGCTGTCAGAGTAACTACATTCTGAGCGCTAGGAAGAGGATCTATTCATGGGAGCAATGATTGACGAGTCTATGCCTCGCCAATGATTAGAAGGCCAGCCAGAGTGATGCTCTGAGTGCTCGGCGATCCTCTACATCCTCTGAGCATGATAAGTCCGCCGGTAGTGGCAGGGACTATGCCTGGGAAAGTCTACAATAAGTGAAGAGCTCTACAGCAATGATTAAGCTTACGCCTGAGCGGTAGCTCATTCATGCAGGTCCCGGTTGTGCGACAATCAAGACTGCAGGTGTTACAAAGGCTTTGACTAAGGGTGGTTGCCTTCGGAACCGGAAGCACCCGCTAACGCTTAGAGAGAAGCGGGGTAGCGGTGGTATTGCTTCCCTTCCGCTAGAAGGGATCACCAGAACTTAGTAAGGGAGTAGGAGCAGGGAATGGAATCCTTTGGAGTATAAGTACTCAGGATCCTTCCCGCCCAACTATCCGATTTCCTGATTTCTATCTTGCACGGCCAAATCCTTTCTCTCAGATTCTAGCGATACGAGGAAAGGCTGTCCCCGTTACATTGAGTTTGTATGGAATGATTATTAGAGCTACATTTTCTTGTATGCTCATAACGTACCATACCAAAAACCCTAGGTTAGACTCGGGACGAGTCTACCGGAGGGAGGAGTAGTGTAACAGGGCCACAGGAGGGCTGTTACAAAAATACCTGTTCTACCAGTCAAGCCATACGGCCCTAGGTTAACCGCAGCTGGTTCTTCATCGATGGGTGAAGAGAAGGGCAGATGCGCCCCTACCTCTATTGGTATAGAGGGTAGAGATCCTGGCGAGCAAGAAGTCTTACAAGTCAAGCTAGACGACTGGACCAAAACTAGAGCAGCAGGACGAGCAGACCAAATAAGGAAGGGTAACCCCAAACATAAGTTACCCTACCTTGGCATTCAACCTTTGAGGCGCAATAACTTTGCAGCCGATGCCCGGAAAATATGCTTTACCACGTCAGAAAGGATCAGCGAGTCTTTACCAGCGAGGAGCCCCCTTAAAGTTATTAAGTTTCTAGACTACAAATAACGATCAAACAAATGAAACTCTATCTTTCCATCGAACGAGCCGAAAGGATAGCTTGTCGAATTCCTTTCTGCCTATCTACCTGATCGAAGTCACGGTCGCGCCCTTTCAAGGCACCCCCGTTACACCAACTCATGCCTAGGTCCGGAAGGAGGGAACTAAGGATCTTATCATCCACTAACTGACCCTCGTAGCCAGTCTTCCACATCAGCTGAATAATGCTATTCAGGAAGGAGTCTATTCCTCCCTTAGCTGTGTGGGTAAGGGTGTTCCATTGGGCTACCGCATCATCCCTAGAGATGGCTTCACCAAAGGCTGCTCTGAGAGCATCCACAAAGGAATCCCAGCGCTTCCATCTCTCATCCAACACCACAGGCATCCCAGCTACCCGGTTGGCAGAAGCTTGGTCGATAGAGTTGTGGTAAGCTTCATACCACTTGACCGGAGCATCTCCTTCCATCAGGTTGCCAGCATATCGGATCCTGACCTCTTCAGAGGTAAAGGACTGGCCCTCAATGGAGAAGACGTTCTCACATTGCCGGATGAAGGTCTCCACGTTATCTGCTTTGCCATTGAACTTGGCCGGAGGGGGTGCTTTGGGTTCTCGGGCCCTAGAGGCAGCGGAGGGGTGTGAGGGGGCCGGAGGTCTCATGAACTGTGCCATGGAGGCCAGGAGTTCTTTCTGTTGCCTCTCCAACCTCTTCCTGAGGTACCTTCGCCATCCTCTCCTGTCACCATCCTCAGGCTCCGAGTCTGAACTGTCTGAGTCCCCTCCTGGGTTGGGAGCGCCGCCAACTGGGGGGACAATTCCATCTCCTCCACCATTACCCGCTGGTTCTGGGTTCTGGTTTTCTCCACCAGGGTTTCCTTCTGGCTGGAGGTTCCTCCTAGGTTACTCCGGGGGTGGTGAGCCTCTGTGGGATTCTGGGGATAACCCCTGGCGAACCCAGGCTGGAGGGAGCCCGGAGGGACCACTCCTGACCGGTGTCTGGGAGTAGTAATCGTCGTCTCCTATAGGTTGTCGGGGGGGCCTTGCTAGGCCGCCTGCCAACGGGCTTGATGGGGCTCTCTGAGGAGGTAAAGGTGAGCCTCCAATGGCCGCTGGCATCATCAGGGGAAGTGTCCTCTGCCTGATAGACCTGACTGGAAACGCTGCAAAGGGGTTCACCCTTTGGTGGAAGGTTCTCAGGGCCGCTCTGGATGAGGCCCTGGAGTTTTGCGGAGGTGCGGGATTGGGGACAGGTGCTGGTGTAGGCATCCTGGCGATGGAGAGCCTTCCTTCATTAATGGCTCTCTGGATGTCTTCCAGGAAGTTAGGGGGCATCGCCGGGTTTGTCCATTCAATGTCCTCCATCTCATCCGCTCCTAAGTCATCTCTCTGAGCATAACTCTGGAGTTGTGCCTGGACTGAGGAGACTTGTTCTTGCATATAGCCGAAGGCATTCCGGAGCAGGACTGCCTCAGCTTCTTGTCTTTCTTGCACCAAGGCTAGCGCATTGCCGGCCTTGATGACTTCCTGTTGCAGGCTGTGCTTCAGGTAGCGCTGCAATTCCGCAAAGAAGTCCTGTAGGGTGACTTCGTCGGTATCTTGCCAGGTGGGCTCACATCCGGGGATGTAGGACTGGAGCGCCGTCCTGGGCTTGTGGATCAACTGTGTCTGTCCCTCTTGGAATTCTAGAGCTGCCGGTTGCCATTCAATCTGAAGAGGCGCTTGGGGAGCCGGGAGGGCGGACATGTTGTGAGAGGAAAGAATAATCTGAAGGTGATTTGAGCACTAAAGATTATCTGTAACGGGGGCAGCCTATCTATGTATCGCTAGAATCCAATAGAATAGATGCGGCCGTGCAAGATAGAAATCAGGTGCAGATTTATTCAAAGATACTATCGCTAGAACTCAATAATCTTTAAGGGCTCTGCTACCGATAATGGTCTACTCGAAGATGAGGATCAGGTCAGTTGGGCGGGAATGATCCTGAGTACTTATACTCCAAAGGATTCTATTCTCTGCTCCTACTTCCTTACTAAGTTCCGGTGCTGCCTCCTTGTGGAAGGGAAGCAATACCATCGCTACCCCGCTTCTCTCTAAGCGTCAGCGAGTGCTTCCGATTCCGAAGGCAACCACCCTTAGTCAAAGCCTTTGTAACACCTGCAGCCTTTGTTGCCACACAACTAGGGGCCTGCATGAATGAGCTGCCGCTCAGGTGTAAGCTTAATCATTGCTGTAGAGCTTCCGCTTATTGTAGACTTCCCAGGCATAGTCTCTTCCACTACTGGCGGACTTCCAATGCTCAGAGGATGTGGAGGATCGCTGAGCACTCAGAGCTTCACTCTGGCTAGCCTTCTAATCATTGGCGAGGCACAGACTCGTCAGTCATTGCTCCCATGAGTAGATCCTCTTCCTAGCGCTCAGAATGTAGTTACTCTGACAGTTGGTAGCTAACCACACTGCCGGTACTTGCATGTCACTGTGCAACTGGCTTCTAACAATAACTCTCAGCATGTAACCGGGCCCTGTGTGTACTCATACACCAGACAGTTGAAATGGCTCCGTTACAGGAGGTACTGAAAGCAATGCTACAACGGGCATGGGATAATATTGGTATTGATAGACTGGATGCTTTAATTAGAAGCATGCCTAGGAGATTAGAAGCAGTCATTGCTGCTAGGGGTCAAGCTACGAGATACTAGATACTAAATACTTGTATATATAGCTATAGATAGTTCGTGAGCGGCAGAACTGGTGTTCGTGAGCGGCGGAACTGGTGTTCGTGAGCGGCGGAACTGGTGTTCGTGGGTGTTCGTACATGGGGTTCTCGGTATTTTTTTCCTCACATAAATTGCATAACTATCATTGGTTGCCTCCTACCCGCCACTGGTGGCTTATATTTCAAACAGGGGGGGTTCTCGGTATTTATGGTGAACACCCGGTACATATGATCATTTCCCACAATTGAAAATCTTTTCTATCCAACAAATACCCCAAATCTCTCCCTCTCCTCTCTTTCACCCGTCGGCATTAGTTCCCGGGTACAAACCACACCCGTGTAGAATCCCGAGCCTGAAGATTTTTCCAGGGAGCTTTTTTGGCGGGGTATCGCATTCTAGCTCTGATCCATGCATGCAACCCCGCCACAACGACTCACCAACTCTCTCTCACCCCCGACCACCGCACCGCACCCCCGAATAACCACCCCCCCCTCCGCCCACCCACCGGCAATGGAGCCCAAAGGTACCAGTCTCACCGGATACAGCTCCGCCGTGCCGGACACCACTGGCACGAAGGACCCCGTCGCGCGGGCAGCCATTCCCTCTGCGCTCACACAAGATGACGGCGCCCCCGACGTGAGTCAAATTATCGCGCAGCAGTGTTTTTTTTTACATGTTTCGCTGATGGGTGTGGTGATAGTACATGCGACTCATCCTGACATCTCGGGTCTACGATGTCATCAAGGAGACCCCCGTCACGCATGCCGTCAATCTGTCGAACCGGCTGGGCTACAAGGTGCTCATGAAGCGGGAGGACCTGCAGCCGGTGTTTAGCTTCAAGCTTAGGGGCGCATATAACAAGATGGCGCACATGCCGGCGGAAGACCGTTGGAAGGGGGTGATTGCCTGTTCTGCCGGTATCTCTCCCTCCCCCGTCCCCGCCTCTCCCCCGTCCCCGTCGCATTGAGAGCACTCGCAGTTACTTACCCGCGCACAGGAAACCACGCCCAAGGCGTCGCCTACTCGGCCAAGCATCTCGGCATCCCGGCCACCATCGTCATGCCTCTCGCCACGCCTAGCATCAAAACCGCCAACGTCGCCCGCCTCGGCTCCCAGATCGTCCTGCACGGCGCCGACTTTGACGCCGCGAAGGCCGAGTGCAAGCGTCTTGAGGAGAAGCACGGCCTCACAAATATTCCCCCCTTCGACGACCCGTATGTCATTGCCGGTCAGGGCACCATTGCCATGGAGCTCGCCCGCCAGGCTAACATCGCAGACCTCAAGGCTATCTTCTGCTGCGTGGGTGGTGGTGGCCTCATTGCGGGTATTGCCTGTTATATTAAGCGCATTGCGCCCCATATCAAGATTATTGGCGTCGAGACCCACGACGCAAATGCAATGGTCGAGTCGCTGAAAGTCGGCCACCGCGTTGAGCTCAAAGAAGTCGGCCTCTTCGCCGACGGCGCCGCAGTAAAGGTCGTCGGCGAAGAGACCTTCCGCCTTTGCAGAGAGTACGTCGACGAAGTCATCGAAATCTCCACCGACGAGATCTGCGCAGCGATTAAGGACGTCTTCCAGGACACGCGCTCCATTGTCGAGCCCGCCGGCGCCCTCGCCGTCGCCGGAATGAAAAAGTACGCCGCGCTGAACCCACCCACAGACCCCAAGGATTCGCTCTGCGCAGTGCTGTCCGGCGCGAATATGGATTTTGACCGTCTGCGATTTGTCGCGGAGCGCGCTAGATTGGGAGAGGGGCATGAGGTGCTGTTGTCGGTGATTGTGCCGGACCGCCCAAAGGTGTTTTATGAGATGATGCAGTGCATCATCCCACGAGCTGTGACGGAGTTCTCGTACCGTTTCGGGGACGGCGAGAGGGCGAGTATCTTTATGAGTATACTTGTCGGGGACCGCGAAAAGGAGATTCCAGAGATATTGGAAAGCTTCGAGAAGAAGGGATTTGAGGGAGTTGATATCAGCGACAATGAGTTTGCGAAGAGCCACGGGAGGTATCTGATTGGCGGGAGGATGCCGAGTGGGATGGAGGACGAAGAGAGGGTGTATCGGTTTGGTGAGCACTTCCTTTATTACCCATACACTACTGTAATCTAGATGGCTAACACACATGTAGAATTCCCGGAGCGCCCAGGCGCACTGTCAAAATTCCTAGAGCTCCTCCGTCCGGAATTCAACATCTCGCTGTTCCACTACCGGAACTACGGCGGCGGTATATCACACCCCCCCTTTCTCTCTCTCTCTTGCATCTATCCTCTTCTTGGACTCTGTAATAATAACGCACGCATAGATGTCGGAAAAGTACTCGCAGGTATCCAAGTGCCTCCCGGCAAGCGCGAGGTGCTCGAGCAGTTCCTGGTGCAGCTCGAGTACCCATTTGTAGATGAGACGGAGAATGAAGTGTATAAAAAGTTTATGACACAGGAGGGGAGGCCTTAGCTGTAGTTGTGTAGTTGTATCTGGTAGAAATAGAAATTTGTTGGGATTTCATGCGTCATGGGGTGTCACTCGGTGTTCGGTGTGTATGTGTGCGTAGTAGAAGCGTTGGTGTTGTTACATGTGGGTTTTTGCTGGGATAAGGGCGTGGAGTGTGGAGTGTGGTTGCTTGATGCAGTACTAGCCTGTACGAATGAGCACACAGTCCAGGACTCCCCTGCGGCCCGTAGGCTGGTTCTGTGAATTAATGATATGGTAGGCTGAGGTGTGTGTTGGACGGGTATACATACTGGGGTCGAAGAATAGAACAAAACAAAGAGGGCGGTCTCTACGTTACTGATTTGTACGGTCCCTATAGTATGTTGCGCTGTGTCGGCTTATTTACTTACTACAGCTACTGGCCCCATCCCCACCCGAGATTTGCGTGTGTGCGTAGATGGCTTGGGGGCTGGGGTTGTGGTTGGAGCTATATTATGTAGATATACGTTGTGCGGCAGTAGCTAGTCAAATATATCATTGACACTTGCTGCCAAGCTAGCTTCGGAGGCTACGGTGGCCGGGCTGCCGAGATATTTCGGGTTGTTGGTGTTTAGGTTCTTTCTATCTGAGGTCTATCTGGCTGGATTGGTCTCAAGATGATTGCTCTGGCTCTTTTTCTCTGTTGCTCAGATGAAGATGAAGAAGGATGAGAGGGATGATGATTCAGATTAGACGGGCTGCGTGCCACAGCTTAAGTTATAGGCCCCGAAGCTAACACATATCTCTAGCTAATTACAGCCACGTAACTCTTGTAACGTGTTTGGACACCTGGTCGGAATAATTGGATGTGTCTGGTTGAATGGCGGTCTCTACAAAGAAGGTTCGTGGAGCTGTGTTCTCAGGCGGGCGTGACTAATCTAAGACTTCACGGAGCACCGAGTGGCGGTGCGAGGCGTGAGAACACATCCTTTCATATCACTCTGCTATATGACCTTATCGATAAGATATAGGTGTCGTGTGGGGTAGAGTACAAGCACACCCCGGTTGTAGCCGGGATATCATGCGAGTGATATCCTATGATCTACTGCGCACGCGAGTCACGCACGTGTTTCAAGAACCACCGAACCTCAGAAGAGCACTGTAGGATGGCCGGCGACGGTGGTCGGTGGCTATCCTTTGAATTTACCAAGTGTTTATTAATAATAGCATGTGTGCTATTAATTACCAGAGGACAACGCATACCCGGCCAGCCATGGCCGGAGAAAGCTGCTGTGGACCCTTAAACGTGCACCCTGGCAATAGTAGGGTCTTATATTAGCATCCCTGCGCATGCCTACAGCTGTCTACGATGGATATTGAAATTTATTGTTTACTTGAGACTTTGTATCTGCACGGTACGTGTAGTTTACAGGCGGTATCAGATTATGATAATCAGTACACAGTAGAGTACAAGTAGAGTACAAATAATCACTAAATAATACCCCCCCTCCCTTCCCCAAGCTATCCCTCCACTCCATCCCCCCACGTATGCGGTTCAACTGACGTCACCGAACCCTCTACCCCTTCCAAATATTCCCTTCAAATAATCCTCACCCGCCCTTCTATTCATCATCACCACCATCACAATGCTCTTCAGACTCACCGCCCGCTCCCTCCTCACCCCCCGAGCACCTCCAACTCGCACACTAGCATCCACATCATTTAGTGGCCGCAACCCCGTAGATATCAAAGTGGATGAGATCTCTGAGCAGTGAGTTTATCTATCTCCCTATCTATTTACTATTTTACTAGCTACTGGTGGTACTGCTGGTTGTGGTGAGAGTATAAATACTAACCTAAGATTGTACTTGTGTGTGATAGGTATGCAATTGCAAAAGATGAGGTGTGTACATTTTCCCAAACTGCAACAGCTTTAATGATGATTTGAGATATACAAAAGAAAAGTTATTAATTGGTAATAGTTAGAAATCGCTGGTACGAATCAGAAACAATATCCGTTCATCTATATGCATGCTGTAACTGACAGATGCGGCGGGAAATAGTTGAAGAGACAGAAAAACGGTCCATCTATGCTGCCGACGATCGAGCTACGGTACGAGAGGAGCTAGAGAAGCTCGAGAATCTCTATAGAGACTCTGTGTCGACCTTGCCAGCCGAGCAAGGCGAGGAGATCAGGAGGAGGGTTGAGCAGCGTATCAGGGAGTTTAGGAATGCTGTCCAAGAGCTGAATAAGGCGGACCTGGAGGATTGAGCGGTATTACAATATTGTAGGTCTCAGCATATCCGTGTTGGAGGTTGGATACATAGTAAGTAACATGTGATATATATACCACGATATATACTAAATTCTTGCTTTTTATATATACTCAACAGGCAGAGACCCACCCGAAACATCTAGATACTCCCACCAACATGAAAGAAATATGAAAGATAAAAAACAACCACCAAGAAAATAATAGAAAAAAAAGTATCAAAATAAGTGCACTTTTGAATCATGCACCCCACCAGTCTTTTTTCTATGCCAAAACACCAAAGAATAATACGAATTTGCCAGACCCACCCCCGTCCCCCGAATAAGAAAGAAAAGAAAGAAAAAAGAAATATGCAGGAAGTTTAGAGTGCAAGTAGAGAAGGGTAAAGACGTAGATAACGCACCGTTACTCCCAAAACCGTAATTCCCCACCCACCCAAGTTTACAAGACTTACAAAACAATGTGCAGGTATTGACCGAATAAAATGATACCACCCCAAAGAAATAAGTGCATCTGTACAGTCATTGTATGTCGCTGTGAAGCGCAATAGGATATGAAAAAAGAAGAAAAAAAGAAAATGCCCCACGTAAAACCTCCCTCTATGTAGTTTATACAATAAAATTTAGGATTCATGATACTGAAACTACCTCAGCGGCTGCTGAGGCTTCGGGTCCAGGAGATTCCTCGACAGAACCCCTAACTTCTTTTTGTTGATAAAAAAGAAGATAGGCTTTCGCCTTAGCAACGATTTCCGGCGTGACCTTGTGTGCACGATCATCGTTGATGCTCCACCATTCGTCTTGGTATTTGACATAGGCATAGTAATGTCCGGAGCTCGCCCTATGTATCGTTAAGTAAGCTTCGATTCCGGTTAAAAGAAATTGGGGATAGCATCCTTACCCAGATCCTTGATGAACCACTACAGCGTAGAGGTCGTACAGACGTTCTACCTGATCGGTACTGTCCATCCAGCGCCCCATGTCCAGTCCTTCCAGAGGAAACCTTACATGTGCATCGACCTTTTGTTTGCTTCCACGGACTGTATTTCTTCTCCAACGAAACCGCTTCAGATGAATACATAGTATCCGCGGTAATGCACCAAACTTGAATGCCTTCGAGAAGCCCGTATCCGAGCCACATGATAGACAAGAGCGTCCGGTTCCATTTGTAGACGAAGCGGCAGAACCGGGTGGAGACGGTGAGCCTTCGAGTTCTTCAGCAGATGAGAACAAGTCTAAGCAATCCTCTAGTGTGACGGAATTTTGCGGCTCGGCTGATTTCGAAGTTGCTTGAATGTACGATAATTCAGGAATTACAAGGCTTAAATCCAAGAACGGGTCTGGCTTAATGGTGTAATCCTCGCACGACAAACATATGATCTATGTTCTTGGTCAACGATATGCCGGAAAAGGAGCGGTGGTTTTCATCTCCAATGACACCAGCATGCGCAGGGAACAAAAAATTACCTTGTTCCACAGGATACCACCAAATACTATTTGAACAATGTTGTCTTCTATACGGTATGGATTCAGTTGTTCTTGTGGATTTAATTCATCTGCTTTCCCAACCTTTTCCGTTATCAGTTCATTCTGCATCCGCTCCAATGCACACTACATGAGATTCAGCAAGATGGTCTAAGAGTATACTATGGAGAGAAAGTACCCTTAAAAACTCTTGAGCGTCATGCTGCTCATAACGTTCTTGAAAAAGTGGCAGAACAGCCGCTACAGCTGTTGCAAACGCATGTGGGGAAACAACCAACGCCGATTTAGATATCCGACGTGGTTTGGGTGGGACGATGGGCTCGCTCGATGGCTCGTCATTCCACATAAGTTTCAGCAAACGAGAAAATTCATCACAAAGATTTCTGAGCAAGAATTAGTAAGATTACTCGGCAGGACGGCGGAGAGAAAGCGTACACGTCTGACGGGACGGTATATTGTTCTTCTAGCTGAGCAGCTCTCCGTGTCCTCGGTCTTGCCATATGCATTTGGACCTGAATCGCTGCATCTTCCTTCCGTCCACCGCCCTCCGTATTTTCCTTATCCGGTATTTGTGTCTTCCGCTCCAGAAAATAATCACGAAGGGGTTTTGTATGGCTGAGAGCTTGGATTACTGCATTATTGTAACACGTATTCCCGAGGTTCTTCAGGCCAACCACCTTTATTCGTTTCGCTGGTGGAATGTAGGAACTCGCGTCGCTTTTGGAATCATAACTATCATCCTCGATTACCTCTGACGACCGCCTTTTCCCCTTGTTGTCTTTCTTTGAGTATGTTTTCTTGGGTAGTCGGCGTTTCGGCTTGATTTCCATCACTAGGGTTTCATCCGATTCTACCGGCTCATTGATGAAATCCATAGCGAGTTTTGGGTTTTCCGCAGGCAGCTCATCCCCTGTCAAATCTTCCCTGGCGTCCTCGGCAGCAGTAAGGGATTCGGGAGGCGAAAGGGTCTCTGGGTGACCACCGGTGGGAATTGGTACACGGGCGAGTGCAAGGTCATCGATGTTCGTGATAGAGCAGACAGTTGAAGTACATGCTACTGAAGGAGCCGGAGACGGCAGGGAGTGTACAGGTTGGGGGAAGAGTGACGTCGTGATCATGGTGTTTGTTTCGATCCTTCTCTTTGCCTCCCCAACTCCGAAGTCAGCATTTTATATTTATCGAGTTGTTGAACAAATTTATCCTTTTCTTTTTTCTCCTCTGCTTTTCCTCCTTCCCTTTTTTTTTTGCTTTCTCTTTCTGCTCTTTTGGGGGAAGGGGAACGGGTATATTTTTTTCTTCTTCTCTCCTCTTTCTCACACTTTGCCTCTTTTCTTTAATTTATTCCTTATTTCACTGAATGTTGAATAAATTGAACAAGAAAAAAAAATAAATTAAAGGAGGGATATGTTGAACAGGGCATCAAACATTGAGATTCATTCTATTCATGTATTCCGGTTGCGGTGTGTGGGAAGTTGTTGTCTGGTGGCTTTGGATGACAACCGACACACAAAACGAACAGACAGAAGAGTAGAGAGAGCAAAAAAGTAACAGGGTATCGAAGCCGTTGGCCGTCAAGAAGCTGCCCAGGACTTGACTAGCTGCCTGGCCAGGCGTGTGCAGATCTCACTCACCGCGGGAAAAATAATGCAGGTGGGGAGGGGGGAAGGGAGAAATACTGAAGGGATCAAAGAGGATGAGGAGGGGAGAGAGTATGTATGGAGGAAAAGGAAAGAAAAGAAAGAAAAGAAACCAGAATAATGAGTGGATATGCGTAAAAGCAGTAGAGAAACAATGCACACGCCAGACAACAACAACGTACTCTAGAGAAGACGAGGAGGGGGAGGGGCCGTATGTACTCTACTGTAAGCCGTACGGTACGAACGAATGCTTGGGCTGGGCTGGGCTGGTTGCGTGTGTGTGCGAGTGTGATGCGGAAAGGTACTTTCGTTTCTCTTCTCTGTCGAAGCCAGGCCAGGGAAGAATAATGAGGCTGCCCCGGAGTGAGTGCTGTTGGCAAGCAGGCACACACGCAGTCAGGTCAGTTCGATCGAAGAAGACCGGGAAAAAGGGAGGCGAAAAGCGAAAAAAAACCCCACACAAGGACATGACCACAGGGTTCAACTACTAAGCTACTCTAGTAATAATTGACGAAAAAGGGCTACTTTATGTAAGTTATTTTTCCTAGTTAGTTGGTTCTCGATCTCGTTGAGACCTCGGTACACACTTCAAGGGTCAGTTTTGCTGAGGTTCCTGAGAAGTTCATGGTGTTCCCTGGTAGGATGTTCTCAAAAGAACTGTTTTCTAGCTCTCTTCGTTGGTCGGAATTTAATAACCTTTTTAGCGTAACTATGGGGAAGTCCGGATATATTTTTCCGAAAAGGCGGCTCCGCGGGGTGTAACCTCTTCTCCCTCCGTCCGGAACAATATTTTTCGGCTTACTTGCGGCGACCATTGTGAATCTTGACATTGTCAAGAATGCACATATGGGGCGAGGTAGGAACTGAGCACACATGTATGAGTTATGCACCCAAGTCCCAAACAAATAATTGTATCTTCTAACAAATAGTACAATTCTTCGGGAAGTGCAGATCCTCCGGCGGAAAGAGCGTCTAATCCTGAAGGATCTACACAGCAGATAAAGACGACATGTTTAGCATTGCATGCAGTTAAGGAACAAGCTGTTCCTTTTGAAGTCATCTGCTATCGAGAGCCTAGACTGGGACCTCTGTATGCCAGCATGATAGTGCACTATGAATGCTGGTACTGTCGCCAGGGATTAACTTTGGAAGTCATTTGGGTGAGGGGTGGTGATTTTCAGAAATCCTTTGAACGGCGGTGGAAAATCATCGCCTGATGTTGTCGCTGGTCGTGTGGTCTTGGGACCCGCGTCTTCTATCAGCTACTACCATCACTACAACTAAGCTTAGAAACCCTAACCCACGGCATTCTTCAAGCAGTAATAGACACCCCCGTTAAAGCACACTAGCTACAGGACGAACAAATATCGCACATAGCGTCTATCTATATATAATAGCCTGGTTAGACTAAGTCTACCTGGTGTGACAAAAGGCCGACTTTCAAGAATCACATATACCGGAGAAAGTATTAACAGCATGGTGTTTCATCAACCTGTACAGCCGCATTCGAAAAGTACTGGCACCCTACTATATTGAGTCGTTCATGAATTATAGCCCACCAAAATCCATGGCACTCGCGCATACTCAACTTATTGATAGGTATGACCGCAATAGAGTCATGGCAGCTCTCTCTGGCAATTGTCTCGAATATGAGGGTTGAAAAGCAGAAAGGACTGCCTCGTGAGTTTGGCTCGGAGGTGCCAATACTTTTCAAATGCGGCTGTACTGTTGCCAGAGGTCTCTTATTTTCATAAACTTAACAGCGGCAGGTAAGTTCAAAACTTTAAGGATATAATGCTCACATAACTTCTAATGACAGTACAAGAAAGAAGTTCAGACGTAGGAGAATCTCGACTCTCAAAACACCAAACCCCAGAATACATATCCCTAGTGGCGGAGTAAGAGACGCTCGTAACGACATAATTCGTACGACTTATATGGATTTGAGGAGTCATAATACCAAACCTAAATCCGGAGCCAACAACAAACTACCTGGTATCTACGCTACAATACTGCACTCAATAGCATGAGGGTCAGTCACGAAACAGATTGAACGCCAAAGGGTAGTTTCAGCCAATCAGAACACTTGGAATTAGGTCTCCTCTCTATGTAGATATTCTGTATTTGGGCTACGAATATTCCTGATGGCCGTCAAACCTGTTTTGTCGATCGTTGGCCTCCGGATTAACTGTACGGCCACTGTGGCGTGTAAACTGGGACTTTGGGGGTTTCAAATGCGTGCTGTACCAATGACAGACTACAGATAAAAATTGATAGCGGGAAATGAAACAAAAGTGCTTCTTCCTAGGTGGCTATGTATGAGCAATCATCTAGCTATGCCCCCTCTGGATAATTGTGTATATTCATGTGTCTATTTTTTGACTAGAAATAGATCACAACTTCCGCAGGCTAACTGGTAATACTTACCAAAACCTAGATTTTTAACATTTTGAATATAGAGATAAACAAAGGAAACTTATATAGTTATGGTTTCAAAGAAACCCCAATATTTACAGGGAAAAAAAGATTCAAAGTACCAAAAAATGATACAGTTTTAAAGATATACAGGAGAAGTAAAAGGGTAATATATACAAGGAAGATGTCAAGGGACGAAGGCAGTAGTACTATTAACAGGAGTGTTAAGCATTAAGCAATTATAACGCTATTTTGGCGGGGGTGTAGGCGGTACATCTTCTAATGCAATGTTCACATAATACTCATTATGCGGGCAATGCATACAATTATGAGGAGGAGGTGGGGGGCCAGTAATTGTGTGTTGCTGAATAGAGGGCGCAAGCATCTCAACTGGTTCTGGCGAGTTCAATTGATACGGTTGGTGTGAATCTGAGAATCTTGTTGTCGGTAGTTCTACTGCTTGACTGTAATAGAATTTGCTGCAGGTCTCCGGAATGGGGCTTCCATCTAGCTCAGCAAGGTCATCTTTCCTAGGAAGACTTGGCGGGCTGCGATGAAAGTACCAGTAGAATCCACCAATCAATGATATTGTGGCCAATACTCCGGCAATGATGGCACCTGCTAGTGCGGCGGTGCTTGTATTTGTGTTTGTGTGGTTTGATATATGAGGTATGTTAGAGGTCTTGGGGGTTTCTGTGGGAGTGGTTGTTTTATTTCGATGTGGAAGACTATCTGTGTCTATATAACCCGTATCGAGCATGGACTCATTTCTCATGAGCGCTGCAACGTGAGCATCCTCAAATCCTATCTCTGGTTCTAGATTTGTACCACTAAATAGAAGATTAACACAAAAAACAAAGAAATATATAGGGTAAGGGTTCCTTACTTGCTGCCGAACGTAGACCGTATCGCTAGTGGGACCTCATACTTCTGAGGGTTTGAGGAGTACTGCAGTTCCCAATGCCATTCGTTCAGATTAAAAAGGTACATGCCGCCATCATCACAATCAGTTGGAATGATGTCTGCGGATATCTTCCCTCCAAAGACCATCATAGCGTAACCTCCGGAGACTAAATTGCAAGTGGCATATTCACTGGGAAGCGGTACTCTATTTACTGAGTAAAAATCTCCATTAGCATCCCAAGCTAGCTGCCACCTGAAAGTCGGAATTGTCAGTACATAAACATCACTTGAAAGTAATGAATTCGCTCCCGTTCCACCGAAAATGTATATTTGATGACTTGAGTTATCGGGAGCAGAAGCGACTTGGCCACAGAAATTCGCACGGTGTGAAGGTATATTGCCAGTTGTGTTTTGATGATACCACTCATCCTTTGCAATGTCGTAAATGTCGATTTTATTCATTGGAAACTACTCAAGTCAGTATCCAAGTTAACTAGTCGAACGTCCTTAATCCAGTACGGCGGGAAACATACCGTGAGATTGTCGTATGCTAGCTTGTTTCCCTCCTCCGTGAGCCCACCAAAGAAAGCCAAAATCCCCTGCTCTCCATATGGCAGATAAAACCCCCCCGCCGAGTGGCGTCTTTTCCACGGTGTTGATTTATTCTCCCAGCTCTCCTTCGCCCCATCCCAGATCAACAATCCCCCAACATCAACATCTCCCATCGACAGAGGAACAGTAGATTGAGAATCATGTGCCACCATCCCACCAAGCAGAAATCCTTTTCGTAAATTCGCAACATAAGTCCCCGCCGCATTGAAAGCTCGCATGATCTTATTACCACCTCTCATAGAAAGGGTCTTCCATATCCTGTCATCTTTACTTCCAAGATCATAGCTCCAAACCTCGTAGCTAGCTGTAGGAGCCGTATAATTAGGGAAAGTTTTGTTGACTCGCTCTGAGAGTCCTCCCACCAGGACTAGTCGGTCTTCGTCTGCCCACAGGTGGCCTTCGGCGATATCAGGAACGTCCGAGGGGATGTCGTAGCGGTGAGTATGTAGGAAGCCATCGGATAGGTTGAAATCTTGGGTTAGGTCGATTGCTCGCAAATATGTATCTAAATGTATAATATCAGTATATATAAATTTTGAAAAGAATAACTTAACTAACTGGGCGCTGCGATTTGAGAAGAGCGATCCTTCCAGGTGCTATCTGACCCATACACTACGCTACCACCCATAAGGTATAATGTATTGTTGATAATTGCACCTGTGAGAGTATAGAAGTTAGCAAATTTTAACTTTGTAATTAAACAATAAGTCTCTATTTACTTTGCTGTGAAGTCATCCGGCAAAGCCTCTCCATAGCAGCACTCGTCTCCCCATCCCTCCTTTGTAACTCGGCATTACTAGTATCGAGGTACTGCGCTTCAACAAAGGCTACACATAGTAGTGACATTATCAGAATGAAGGTCTGCATTCGAAAGTTCATTATTGCCAAAACTGCAAGTATTCAGATAAAAAATCACGAATGTAGCACTGTTCCATTATTATGGGAATGAAGGGCATATCTATATATTGTAGAATTATTTGATATCAGCGCTTAGAGAGGCTCCGCTTATTTGCTTTTCGCGATCCCGATACTGGGTTTCGTTTTTCTTGGGTCTGGCGGTTGATTAGAGCTCGCGTGGGCCAGCGAACCAATCCCCGTTTGGCTGCAAGCTGGTTCAACTAAATAAAGCCTCCATCTAGCCAATTTGGGCGACAGCCGCCATTTCAAAAACCAACAAACTGGAACCTAAAGCCCAAACAGGAATCCGTCGCCCAAACTAGAAAGAAGTGAAAAAGAAGCAAAAGTACTGGGACATCTGAAACCACTGGTCTTCTGAAACTGGGAGTTTAAAAAGGGAACTTTTTTAAAAAGCTCATGTGAAACATAGCACGGAGTTGTCTGCAAGCTAACTAACCTTCTGGGGATTTCAGCCCCCTCGATATGCAATAACAGAAGCCAAACTCACCTATTCTGTACACGATGTATCCCTTGGACCGATGAAAGTTGTCAAATTCGCGACCACACTCTTTCAGCTATCACTAGCCTAATATAGGAATTGTTGGAAATTCTTGATTGGTTCTGTTGTTGTTGCCATCCGTAAAACGCAAGACAATTCCCTTACAAAGTGGTGCACGGTCCAGGTCGCGAATTTGACAACTTTCATCCGTCCAAGGGATAATATACCTTGCGCCTCTAGCTATGCAAGTACTGATAGCTTTGTTTCTAGAATCCAAATCTAAGTGCCTTAGCTGGAGAGCAGACGTGAAGATTAAACCCTATATATCTGTGTAAATACAGTATACATGTCTGTATTAAGCACCTGTGCCCAAAAATTGTATATGGGTACTAGGTGGGACTGGCCTGATAAGGCAATAGCCCGTCTTATTCCGATAGGTACTAAAAAGCCATTTCATCATTAATGAAATGGCGGCATTTGAAAGCCCTTAGAGATATCAAGGCAAGGCTCCCCCCAATAATCCCTTTGGTTTGTTGGCATATTCCAGAAATAACAACTTAAGGTACAGTTTAATTTACTCTTAGCCGCCGGTGGTGCGCTTGCGTCTGGCGAGGGACGTCGTCGTCGTCGACAAGGGTGGGTGCAGTCTGACCCGGCCGAACCATGGGACGGTCAACTGCCCCTTGATAGCTGGGAATTTCATGTAGGGCGCCTCTTTCCTAGCCTCTACCGCTTGGCACTAATGATCGTGAGGATTTTCTAACCGTTCCAGGCGCGCTTCTTGGGGTCGCGACAGCTAAAAGGTCTGATTTGAGCAGTGCGAGACTAACGATTAGCAGATAAACCGGCTAAATCTCAAGACAGAGAGAGTATGGAGTAACAAAGGAGGGAGAGCAGGCACTCTACTCGTAAATGGAGCCACGAGACGTTACCATCTAGTCGTTATGACTACACGAAGCTTAAGCACATACTGAGTCGATTTCAAGTTGTCTTTCTGGAGTACGTGTACTCTACCTACTAATACTCACTAGTAGAAATATTGCCAAAAATTTAGTTTCAATAATTTCTACTCTACTCTAGTGTCGCCTAACTTGATTGTATTATTTGATATCAGCGCTTTAGAAATCATTACTCGACCAATTTTCCGGTGGTTTGCCTCTCGCGAGCATCGAACCGCGCTCCAAATACTCAACTAGAATGCGACGGTGAGTTGGAATCGCATCTCTTGCTAGAGTTTATCCTTCAATGTTCATATATAGGCGAGGGATGCGGGTTGGCTGGGTGTGCGGTGGCCGCGCGCGCATGTAGTGAAAGTACTTCCTTCAGCTCCAGCGAAGAATGAATTCTCCTATGTAATACTGAAAATTACAGTACTCGCACGTCAATTATGTATTTGCCCAACCAGAAAAACACACCAAAAATCGAGGTTTTCAACAACTCATAAAAAGCCCCACACCTAAACCAAAATATCAACGACCAAGTATAGTATAATTTTGATAAAGGAGGTCCATGCTTCAAATTCTTGGCCCAATTGAGATACTGGTAAAGGTGCCATAAAAGGACCCTTTTAGACACATTTCACCTTCAGGGCTTGTTCTTTGTAGATATGGCCTAAAAGTGGCCTGTAGGGTCTTTCAGGTGTCTAGATAGAAGACACATAATTTCAGGGGAGGTGGGAGAGCGCTATGGATTCTGTGTGTGTTTTGCTGGTTGCGCAAATACATACTTGATATGCGAGTACAGCGGTGGGTAATAAGTGATCAGACAGAACGCCACCAAAATACGCGTTTGCAGGCAAAATTGTGGCTAGGTCGTCCGATGACTTAATACCCACCGCTGTATCTATATGCACAAATTTATTCTGAGAATCACCTTGCTGTAGATACTTACCGATCGGCATATTGATATATTCCTAGAAAGATATATTTGGGTACGATGGTTCACCAGGTCCAGAGGTTTACAGTGTTAGGGGCTTCAAATGGTTGTTTTTTAAAAAAATTCAATACATAAAATTTGAGCCCTGATATCCCTTTACCCGAAAGAAAACCCACTAGTTTACACCTAACTACACTGGTCTAGAGTGTAACTCCTCTACAACTCAACCTTCTCCGGAGTGTATCCTTGGATCCCAAGCAGTTCGGTTTGGAAGACTACAGTACGATAAAACAACCAGGATTAGTAACTAAACCAGAGATCGGTGGCACTTGGAGAAAACGTACTCAAGGTGGCCTTCGGCGGGATAACTGGCGGCATCCCTCGTTCCCCATAAGCAAGATCATACGGGATAGTCAACTTCCTCTCGTCTCCAATGCACATGTCCAATAGTCCCTGGTCCCATCCTTTGATGACTCTGCCCTGTCCAAGCTGGAATACAAAAGGTTGGCCACGATTGTATGAGGCATCAAACTCGGTACCGTCCTCGAGGGTACCGCGGTAATGGACCTGGATCGTGTCTCCCGCCTATAAATCATGAGCATTAGTTCCAACTCGACTATTTTGTGCTTTTGTGCGCCTGGGCGGTGAGGGAGCTCAAACCTTTGTCTTTCTAACACACTCAATTTCCTTGACCTTTTCGATTTTGAGTTCCTCCGCAGTGGCAGAAGCGACGAGCGCTGAGACGACGAGTGAGATGATGGTTGAGACGCGCATTTTGAGTATGTTAAGGTTTTTAAGTTTTACTACTCGAGTGTTGGAAATCGGACTTCTTAACTACTCGAGGGGTGTAAAGGACAGATATGGTAGGTGTGGGTAAGTGGACGGAACGCCCCTGGGACTAACTGCATATGGTTAGAGCAGTCGTGGGGAAACGTGGAGATAAAGTTAGTGCCGCCTGTCTGGGCATCGCCGGGGGACTGTGATTGGTTGGTATTTGGTAGGGGAAAATATTAGTTTGAAAAGGGCCTATGGAACGGGACAGTTGAGGTCATACCTACATAGGTTATATTGGTACACAAGCTGCAATTCACCTACATGTATGGCTCTACAGTCGCAACTCGATATGCCGGATTGCCAAGATTCGAAGGATTTCATACGGGATAGCAAAAAATCCGGGATAGCAAATTGATCTTGCAGTAAAAAAAACCAAAACCCCAGAGGATTTCGTACGGGATAGCAAGGGATCCGGCGTATTGAGATCCGGCATATCGAGTTGCGACTGTATGCCGGATCTATTTCTTGGGCCATGGGGCTCAGTTGAGTACGAATTAAGTAGTGAATCAAAAGCAATGCGATAGGTCAGTGAGGTACCTCACTGATTAATTCACAAGCCAGTGATCTGTGAAGCCCCAAATATTCTGTTACCTAGAGTATATCATTTACAGAAGTCACACAAGTTCGCATCAATTAGAGTACAATCTTCACATGCTCATGCGTGTTTCTTAGTCCATAGTCTAAGACATGCAGTAATCTCCTACATGTACGTGTTAAGCCCTATATTTTTTTTTATACACGCGTTTGCACTGTGCGACGTGCGGTGTCTTATATAGCTATTGTAGAAAATTGAGCTCCGATAACTGAGTAAATACACGTGTGCATATACACATATATAGGGAGGCAAGATTCGACCAAAACCGCCCTCTCTGCTAATGTAGTCTATAAAAGTTCATGTAGACAGTTTACTCGATGTAAAAAATTACAGTAACCTCATTTGACCAGCCAGATGTTAACCCTAGTTCATTCCATGCAGTCTCGATATCTACTTCAAGCACAGTATCACTCTGCGCGCTTTTCTTAACAGTGCTAAATGGAATAACTTGTCCTGAAATCGTTATAAGAAGATTCGAGATATCTCGTGAGGCAAGGTCGGAGATATAAAAGCCTATAATAGTGATTAGTAAATGGTTCTTCCGTCTGATGCTCGTTCATATGAACAGATAATTACCTAGGGTTCCTAGTGTTTTCAAGGTGACTGAAATCATAAAACGCTTAGTCTCGGTCTTTGTGGACTGTTTCGCGATGGCCGCTGCTCCAGACATGGCAGATATCACCCCAAATATACCAAAGTAGAATGATTTCTCTGCACCAGCCTGCGCAAGTTCAAATACAGGAGTGGCAGTGTAAAATTCCCAATCTCGAGGGAGAAGCGTTGTGCGAATGAGTTTTCCTTGTCCTTGGGTATAAATACCGCCTATTTTCCCAGTCCTATGAGACCGGATAACGTATTTCGCCACTAATAACATTCCAGGAAAATCATCGATAGAGATCAGCTCCGAATTTTCCACCCCAGAAATATTGAAAACAGCCATGAAAGAGCTTCCCCCAATAGTACCGCAACTATTTCCGACTTTTAGTAGTTGGTTACTGTTGTAGGCGATAAATGGATCGATAGGGAGGGCTACACGACTAGGACGTAGAATAACCGTATGTCCTTGGGGAGTGACAGCACTCATCTGTTTGATGAGAGCGATATCGTGCTGCCCTGGAGCGTCTGTGATGTAGATAGGACCACCCGATATACATCGAGCAGCTGCATGAAACCCAGCATATTCAGGTAGAGTTGATTGAAACATATCCCAATCTGGTAGACCATTGAGATGGGAAGTAAATATATTATTTAAGGCGTTGGCAAAGACATGCCAAGCATGCGAACTTGGAATTTCAGGGAAGAAATCTGCTCAATTATCAATCTCGACGCCACTGTTGGTTTCAAAATTGGGGTTTTATTACCATCAGAGTTTCTAAAAAGAACGCGAGGACCGTTATGTGGTAATAATGCACGGAATAATATATAAGGAGAATGCTCCATGCCTAGAAGAAATTTCAGCAAGCCCATAAATTCGCGCTTGTGCCAGGCTGTCGAATATGACTTACAGTAGATCACTTTTCTCGAAAACCATTTCAAGCTGTGCAGTTTAAAAGCATCCTGGTATGCACGACTTAAACGTTGGCGAACAGTGGCATCATCGAACTCATCAATGGCGGCTTGGTTATCGCATTTGACAGAATCTACTCCAGCACCTACAAGGAACCTTGGGAATTTTAGACAACTCTTAAACTATAAACAGATTGACAGTGGTCTTACTTGTAAAAGTCGCTGTACATCCGGCTCACATCCGGCTCGTCAACAACATGGACATCGTGGCCTCCGTGCCACTTCACCGTAGTGCACTTATAATTAGTGTCGATAGCCCCTCCTGGAGAAATTCCCTCCCAGTATCCCAGCTGATCCTCTGGTTAGTTAAAGTTTGAAAGATTACGAGCCTGTATTGCCATGTACTTACCAGAGCATGCCACACTGCTATATGCTTGATATTTTTGAAACGCTTTCTGATCTCTGAGGTGGTATGTGCCAATCCGTTGGGAAAGTTTTTATTTGCCTCAAATTGAACCCAGCGGCGATTATCATCCTATATCGGTTAATTTCGCCTGTAGGCATCGTAATGAAATCTTTGATTTCCTACCAAGGATTGCCAATTATCATCAATAATGAGGGTGGAAACTAGAAAGAATGTATGAGTACAAATATTGTAGAAATCTAGGTGAATTACTAACCGTTTATACCATTGTCGGACAGGTCTTGCAAAGCGGCAATTATCTTTTCTTCAGAAAGTTCACTACCTAGGCCATTCCAAGTGCAATATGCAAGCCCATCAAACCTAGTAGTGCTCAGTATCTTGACATTGGAGAATCATAGGCAGAGGGTACTACCAAGTCTGATACCACGCGGGCAAGGGGGCAGGCCCATCATTGTCTTCCCAGCCTGTCGCGTCTTGATTATCCTGAATAATGTCCAGTGCTCTGATAATTTCTCTGGCTTGGTAAAACGCAGCGTCAGCCGTCCTTTGATACTCAAGACCAGTTGCCACAATAGCTCGGTGGTGTTCATCCACCAGCCCGTCATTTCTCGTCTTTAAGATGATCTTCCCGTCGGATGATTGAACGAAGGTTGTACAATTGTCAACACCAGATATTCCAAGAATAACGACATGCCGGCCATCAGAGCGCACATAGCCTGCCATAACAGCATCGCGATCCACGGTGAAGTGAGAGGCGCCTTGACGTGGCCCCATCCACGAAGGGCTCAATTTCACCTGATTATTTTAGAAGCTTGCCGGTCTGATAGGAATGGAGTCCAGTATTACCAACGCATAAAAGTTTTCCAACAATAAGGGTGCTCCCAGGGCCACATTGCTTGTTCCAGGGAGAGCAGATCCCGAGACTACATAGAGATCGGTGCCGGAAACGTCACTGGACGCTTTCTTAATTGCGAGATTGGAATTAGTTCCTTTAAACAAACTATCAAATTGGAACTGGTCGCTGGAAATGGCATAATTCTTTTGGAAAATGAGACGGCCATCGGCTATTCCCGATTGCTCTTTGATCCATATCCATGGGCTATTTTTCTCCGGTTTAAATCTAAGTGTAAATTGCAGTGGTTGGATTGATTCGTGATAAATATCTAATCTGTAGGCTCTCCGTTTAAGATCAGACGACTCGTCGAATCCCGAGATCTATGGAAATATTAGTCCACATTTAATACACGTGTTTTCATATCAGCTAATACGGTAAATACCAGCGAGAGGTCATTACTAGGAGTAAATTCCGCTTCCTGCCATTCTGCACCGGCACTGTACCAAAGCTGCAAAGTCCACCCTTCATCCGTATATCTATTATCCTGTGAGGTTTCCAACAGAGCTACAAATTGAACCTTCGGGAATCAATGTCAGCTTCAAAAAATCAACTCTGAACTTGGGTCGAGCAGAGACCCGGAGAAGCCAACAGACTTACCGGCTCCCCCCTTTCGTTTTTCGTGACAGTTGTCTTCCCAAGTGAGGGCGAAAGAATGACATTGATATCTGGTTGGCTGTCAGCAACAAAGCATGATTGTCGTCCCATAATCATGTAATGACTTGATTTCAACATACACATTGTGCGAGAGTTTTAGGGCTTTGTCCTCGATTCTTCGTTCGACCATACACACTTACTTATGAAGTGGATCGAAAAGGTCTGCGTATATGCTATAGAAGAGATCCCTTATAAAGCAATACTAGTAGGTCCAGCTAGTGTTTGACGATAGGAATCTAACCGCCGGGATTTGTACCCTTGACAATTCGAATTCTGCGGGTTGAACGGATGAATAATAAACAGACGAAATTGGAAGCAATTCCTTCAAAATTATTCGACTAGGCAAAGGTTAGGTTCGCGAGGTCAAGTGGGGATGTTGTGTACCAGCGGAATATACATGTATGTAGGTACTTCTCGTGCGTGCACTAATTCAATTGGGTATTCAAGCGGGGAAATGTAACTAGATAAGTGGGGTGCGGTCTCCTGGTCGGGATTCTTTGATTAACATATTCTTTTATCCATTGTAACACAATTGCAAGGTTATGACAACACGACAACTGAAACCTACCTAGGTAGTGGAATATCTTATTTATATTAGGCTGAATACTTACATGTAGTCTATAATTATAATCCAGGTGATGGATTGGAGCAGATAGAGTTAACCAGGAACACAACTGACATGGTATGTAAATACAGGTATTGTAGATACAATAGTGGGTGTTAAATTTGTTGTTATAACTCCATGGGGACGATGAGTGATCCCTTGTGATTTAGACACACACTGAGTGATTCTTTATGATTACATGTAGGTCCGGGTCTCTTCCACTTCCATTAGGTATTGGGTTGAAATGTTCAAATCTACAAATCCTTGCCCTGCTAGGGCCTTGATATCGACAAGCTAAGTCTCGCTTCTGATTCGCGAGGCTTGGCGCATATACTGCCGCGGGTTATGTAATTTCACTTCAAAGTAAAGGGTGTGCCACCACGCGACGCGACAGTACTACTTCCAGACCCGCCGTACTGGGCAGGGACAAAACAACAGATCGTACTACATCCCTACCATTTACACTCTCACATACTCAATTGCAAAAGTTGCAAAAAATTGCAAAAATGCGGAAGGCCAACGCAGAACGCAAGACACCTAAAAAAGGAGATACAGCAAAAAAAGCCCCACCCTCCTCTGGCAAACAGCAGCGTACCCTGTTATCATTTTTTACTCCAAAAGCAGACTCGTCCAGCCCGAAAAAAGAAGCTCAATCATCAATTGGAAATGATGTTGAAATGACTATAGAGGAAGATGTTACTCCAAAGGCAATTTCTCCTACGAAGGGCCCTTCGCCCAGTGGCGAAGAGACTACTACTAGGAAGCGAAAAGGCAAGCTTTATCTAAAGAAAATTTAAGATACGCCGCTCACTATCAATGATACATGTAGTTGCTTTTAACTACCAACCCTCAAGCCCAACTGCAAAAGTTGTATGTCTTTACACCTGCAATATTATTGACCTAAGGAATTTACATATATTATTAGGCAGCTTGGAAACTCGATAGCGATAAAGAATTGAGTGATCAAGAGGAGGAGGAAGAGCTTCCAGTCAGAAGTACAAAACCCGACCCCCCCCCCCCCCCCGGGAGATTTTTTCTAATCGACTTAGGTACCAAACGAGCTCGACGAGCTATTAAGGATGATTATGAGGAGGACGATTTTGTGGTCGATGATGACGGTATAACCTATCCACAGCACCTTGGCCCAATTGCTCAAGCTCATTGACTGGGTTGTGTAGAAAGTGATTTAGATTTACCTCAACCCCAGGGTCTAATGAAGAAGCAGCAGCCATCAGCAGAGCCAACTCCCAAGAAACTTGCAAGCACGTCAAAGTTTGCATTCCGGCCAACGAACGGCAATTATACCCCCGTTAAGTCGTTCCCTCAACCGAACACTCCAAGGAATTCAAATAATCCAGCAGCATCAAAGAAGGAAGGGAAAGAAGTGCGTTACGAATGGTTGGTTGATGTAAGAGATGCCGATAGGAATAAACGTAGGTCATCTACATTCGGATCATCAAGGGTCTAGGAGTTATATTGACAGAGGTTCAGCTGGTGACCCGGAATACGACCCCAGAACTCTTTTCATACCGGATTATGCGTGGGCTAAGTTTTCCCCATTCGAGAAGCAGTATTGGGAGATAAAGCGCAATCTTTATGACACAGTTGTGTTTTTCAAGAAGGGGAAGTTTTTTGAATTGTTTGAGGACGATGCTACCATCGGGAATCAGGAGTTTGATTTGAAGATGACTGAACGCGTCAATATGACAATGGTTGGAGTTCCAGTAACCTCATTTGATATGTGGGCTTCACAATTCATCGCGAAGGGCTACAAAGTTGCACGCGTTGACCAGAAAGAGACTGCCTTGGGTAAAGAGATGCGCGAGAAAGGATCTAAACCTGGAAAAGAAGAAAAAATTATCAAGCGCGAGTTAGGTTGCATTTTGACTGGAGGAACTCTAGTGGATGAATCGATGCTACAGGATGATATGGCTACTTACTGTGCCGCAATAAAGGTGAGTCGGACTTTTATTCTTTGCTGCTGAAGTCGCTACGTATAATGATTCTGATCCTGGGGTAGGAATCCGTTGAAGATGGAAAACCCTGCTTCGGCATTTGCTTCGTTGATACTTCAACTGGTGAATTCTCGATGTCAGAATTTTCGGATGATCTAGAACTTACCAAGTTTGAAACATTGATCGCACAAATTCGGCCAAGAGAGTTGATCCTTGAAAAGGTAAGATATGTACATTCAAGCGACTAATAAACTGGCTGACATTCTGGTCAGGGTCTTATCTCTACTCCGGCTCTTAGAATTCTGAAGAGCAACACCCCTTTGACAACCATTTGGAATAAACTCAAACCAAACCAGGAATTCTTAGAGGCAGAAGCAGCGATCCGTGAAGTTATGAGTAAGAATTACTTCCCCAGCGAATCAGACGATGAGATGGACAAATGGCCCGAGGCACTTCGTGATTCCAAAGACAAGGAGCTTGTGATGTCTGCATTTGGTGCTCTTTTGTGCTATCTACAAAAGGTATGATCGATGTTTTCATCTTAGCCAGATCATTACTAACACTATTTGTAGCTTCAAATTGACCAAGAACTTATCAGCATTGGTAACTTCCGGTGGTACGATCCCATTAGAAAGGCAACATCATTAGTCTTAGATGGACAAACGCTGTTGAATCTTGAAGTAAGATAAAATCTACTTTCACCTCCCCCCCTCCCTATAGTCTTAGTCAGTGGCTTATTGAATTAAGATTTTTGCGAATTCATATGACGGAGGTTCTCAAGGGACCCTGTTTTCCTTGTTGAATAGATGTATAACGCCGTTTGGGAAACGGATGTTTAAACAGTGGCTTTGCCATCCGCTTGCTGATGCCATTAAGATTAATGCAAGACTTGATGCCGTTGATGCCCTGAATGCGGACACTGGGTTTCGGGATGCCTTTGTCTCACGATTAAGCAAGATCAATGATCTTGAGCGCCTGATATCTAGGATTCATGCTGGAACCTGCAAAGCTATTGACTTCCTTCGTGTTCTTGAAGGGTTTGAACAAATCCGTGACGCCATGGAAGACATTCAGGCACACGGTGAAGGGGAAGGATTGATTGGAATGTTGATTTCTAGCATGCCTGATCTGAAGCAATGTCTGCAGCCTTGGGAAGCTGCCTTTGACCGCGAGAAAGTTAGGACTGTGGGTGTTCTAGTGCCTGAAAGAGGCGTAGAGCTCGATTTTGATGAGTCTCAGGGCACTGTTGAGGGTATCATTAGCGAGCTTCATGCGGTATTGAAAGAGTACAGTGTTAAACTGAAGTAAGCAAAGCTATAACGTCCAAAGCAAAAGAAAACTCTGACAGTCCTTTAGGTGCAAGGAACTCAAATTTGCGGATATTGGTAAAGAAATCTACCTCGTCGAAGTACCCTCAAAATATTGGAAAAGTGTTCCGAAGAATTGGGACCAAATGTCTGCAACTCAAAAAATCAAGCGCTTCTATTTCCCCGAAACTAGAAAGCTTGTGAGATCTCTCCGAGAGGCGCAGGAAATCCATGCACAAATCGTCGAAGGTGTTGCAGCCCGCTTCTTTGCAAGATTCGACGTAGATTATTCGAAATGGCTCAGTGCTGTGAAGATTATTGCCTACTTGGATTGTCTGATCAGCCTCGCCAGGTCGTCTGCCGATCTTGGCGACTTAAGCTGCAGGCCTATTTTTGTTGATACAAAGCGAAGTGTTCTGGACTTTGAAGAACTTCGTCATCCTACTATGATTTCTAGGTATGGTCTCATGCCGAATTTGAGTATAAGCCAACTAATGTATTCAGTGTCACGGATTTCATCCCCAACGATATACAATTAGGAGGAGAAAATCCTAATATAACCCTCCTGACCGGAGCAAACGCAGCTGGAAAATCTACAGTCCTCAGAATGGTACGTCAATCTCCCTTTGAAGAATATGTCACAACTAATAATCTGCTGCAGACGTGTGTCGGTGTGATAATGGCCCAAATTGGATGTTATGTTCCTTGTAAATCCGCAAGGCTCACACCTGTGGATCGTATCATGAGTCGCCTAGGGGCAAATGACAATATTTTTGCAGCTCAAAGTACGTTCTTCGTTGAACTAGCAGAGACGAAGAAAATACTTTCGGAAGCTACACCACGTTCCCTAGTCATTCTTGATGAACTCGGACGTGGTACGTCCTCATATGATGGTGTTGCTGTCGCACAGGCTGTACTTCATCACGTCGCAACTCATATGGGCTGCATTGGGTACTTTGCAACTCATTATCATTCACTGGCATCCGAGTTTTCCCATCATCCTGAGATCGAGGCCAGGCGTATGCAAATCCACGTGGATGAAGAAAATAGAAATATTACTTTTTTATATAAATTGGAGAAGGGTGTTGCTGAAGGTTCTTTTGGAATGGTAAGTTGATTGTTTTCTCGACTATGCACTCAATTTACTGACTTTGTTCCCCCAACTCAGCATTGCGCAGCCATGTGTGGTATCAATAAGCGCATCGTTGACAGAGCAGAAGAGGCTGCGAAGACCTTTGAACACACTTCGCGTTTGAAGGATAGTTTGGATTCAGCCCGTGCTGGTACTTACATTCCTTTAGGTTTGCAAAGTGATTTAGCTTGGATTCTGAGGGGGAATGGTGTTGGTGACGATGCTATGAAGTCAATCGTTCAAGCGATAAAATGTTTATGATGTTTGCATAACTATTAAATGAGTGGTCATTTATTTTTAAGTCGGCTGAAGAATACAGATGTTATATATCCATTTGAAAGAACAAGTCTGTATCTGTTGATTAGTCAGAGGGCATTTGTCTGTCAAACATGGATGGTAATTAAATTGTACCTGTGAAATTTTATTTCGCGTAGACAAATATACGCAAAGCCTCCACAACGTTTCCTTCACAAGATCTTAAAGCATCTGTTGCCCTTGCCTTGGTCACCTGTAGGAGGAAGAAATGAGTAAAGTTGACAGAAGCTGTCGGAATTGTAGTATTGTAAATTTTACCTCCATCTCCTCGACAATAAGAGCCACATCTGCGGCATTTACTTTCGTTGAAGCGACAGGAGCCGGCTTTGCAGTATTGGCTTTTGTAACGCTGAGATCTTGCATGGCTTTTCCGAGGGCCTCAGCCGACTCATTGTTGACCGCAGCATCGTCACTTGTACTTTCCATGGACTCCATAGCCTTGAAGCGGGCTGCATCTTCAGCATTGGAGGGAACGACGCGTTCTTCGGGTTCGGTCATTGCACAGAGTTTTTGTGGGGGATTTGCGATGTCCTGTATCGTATATGGGATGAATTTTCGATATTCTTGTTCTCAACTCTGATGTTGAGAATTTCCACATCTGGTAGCGGGGGTTGCAGCCCACTACGATGTTTGTATTCTAGCCAGATTGGCAGCGGGGACCTGCATGAAAATATCAACCGTACCCCGCCTCTTGTCCACTCCACACAAACGCCATCCCGATCAACTACAGGTCTTAGATCACTTTTAAGATAGCAAAATGACCAGTCCCCCTGTCGAACTACCTCTTAGCCAGGCTGCCAGAAGCGCAGCTGCTCTGAGATCGTCCAATATTGACGCCAGTATTAGTAGCATAGTTGCAAATTACAGTAATGTTTGGAGTCCATCTTGTGAGTTGGACCCTTAGCCCAGGTTACCGAAACCCTTATGTGATATACTAACCATCGTTCTTCTACTAGCCTGGCAGTCAAAGCCAATGAAGCAGAACGTTACCTACGACAACCAAAAAGCTGTCGAGAAAGCCCTTCAAAAGCTGGAATCTTTACCTCCCCTTGTGACACCATCGGAGGTAAATTGGAGGCGCTAACAATGGTATCGCAATAAACTAACTGAAAATTTAGATCGTGAAACTACGTAATTCGTTGAAAGAAGTTGCTCTTGGCAAAGCGTTCCTTTTGCAAGGAGGTAATCTCTTGATGCAGTAAATCTGAAACTACCAGTTGCTAAGTTCATTGGCAGGCGATTGCGCCGAATTATTTGATTATTGCTCGGATGTATGGGCGCCCCTCACAATTCGCTTCATATATATATTAAATTGACTGACACTGCCTAGGGACCAATTGATTCTAAGATTAAACTTCTCCTTCAGATGAGTTTGGTATTGATATGGGGTATGTCTGCTACCTTGCGAAAATGCGCAAAGATTCTTATCCTTTTAGGTGGTAATATCCCCGTGGTACGCATTGCCAGAATGGCTGGACAGTTCGCCAAGTAGGTTACTATCATCTATTTCTTATCACCGACAGCCTCTGATGGCCTGGAAAGGCCGAGATCTAGCATGACCGAGGTAGTTGATGGGAAAGAGATACCATCTTTCCGTGGTGATAATATTAATGGGTTTGACCCAGCAGACAGGACTCCTAATCCAGAGCGTCTAGTAACGTAAGTTCTTGAATCACGATCAATTCTTTAAAATTTCCCTGCTTACTATGATAGCGCTTATTTTCATTCCGCGGCTACCCTGAACTACGTCCGCGCCCAATTGGCTTCTGGCTTTGCTGATCTACACCGTCCTTTTGAATGGACCCTTAACCATGTTCAAAACGACCAGACTAAGCAGCTGTATCAGAAAATCGTAGACTCAATCACTGAGACTATACGTTTTATGACCACTATCGGAGCAGACAGAGCACACAGTCTCGGAACCGTTGATTTGTATACCTCACACGAAGGACTCCACCTTGAGTATGAGCAGAGCTTGACTAGATCTCTGAAGGATCCTGTGGATGGGAAGAATAAATGGTTCAATACATCCGCTCATTTTATCTGGATTGGAGATCGCACTAGACAGCTTGATGGTTCTCATGTTGAGTATTTCCGCGGTATCGAGAATCCCATTGGTATCAAGGTCGGCCCTACAATGAAAAATGATGAGCTTGTTGCTTTGCTTGATATTGTCAACCCTAGCAAGGAGATTGGCAAAGTGACTCTAATTACCAGATATGGAAAAGATAAAATTCACGACCTATTGCCAGGGCATATCAAGGGTATTCAGGGCTCAGGACATGTCGTTATTTGGTCAGTACTCTTTAAGTCCCAACCAAACAATGGTCTGCTAATTCTCCTAGGCAATGCGATCCCATGCATGGGTATTAATTTCCTTGACTTTTATAATATTTCAACCCTCATACTAACATGCTACCAGAAACACTCATTCATCAACTATCGGAGTAAAGACTCGCCAATTCTCGTCTATAATGGCAGAGCTTTCTGCCGCCCATGCCATCCATAAGGAACATGGTACTCACCTTGGTGGTGTACACCTCGAACTAACCGGAGTAAGGCCGAGCCCACACCTTCTTATTCTATTAAATTGACATACTCATGAAACTCTTTCCCAACTTTTAGGACGCCGTTACCGAGTGTGTTGGTGGCTCTGAGTGTCTCACGGATGAAGATCTCTCTTTGAACTATACTACTTATTGCGATCCTAGACTCAATAACAAGCAAGCTCTCGAGGCTGCTTTCCTTATTGCCGGATGGTATAGAGAACGCTCTTGATGCTACACAATATTCGATGTCCTGCATTAAGCACTGTGATCTGCGTTTTTATCGGGGGTCCTTAGTAGAGGCATTTTGACTTCAATCCAAAACTTTTTACCCTGAGTAGCTTTCGGCGGGTCGGAGATTTATTTGCCGAGGCTTCTGCTTCAGAGAGCTGAGATTCAAGTATCGGGTTTTAGCAAGTCTGCCAAGCCTGCATTTGCTCCACTCTATTATTAATTCCCGAGTGACGAACCATGATTAAACGTGATTTCTGGCCTTGTATCATTCCCGCTCTAGAAATGATCATTCTTATACACAAAACCCCAAACCACTAGAAGAAAGTACATAAATACTTACTATTATAACACCGTAACAAATTACATAGCCGACTTTACCCCGGGCCCGTATTAGAACCGCGCCTCTTTGTGTTATGTCATGATCACCACCATTCTATGTATCACCACTTTCCAACCCATCCGAATTTTCAAACCCTGGAAAACTCTTCCGTCGAGATCTCCGCACTTACAAGGCTGACCACTACCCAGTTATCTGCCCCAGAGATCGTCCATAGTGAAGTGAAGGGAAAAACAGCGAACGAATAAAGGTTCTTTCAGGAACAGAAACCTACCTTGCTTTTTGTGCATATGCAGGACTAGTCCATCAGTAGAGTAGGTTGCTATCCATCATAGCCGATTCGACGGAACAGCGCAACCTGTGTTCTCGTGCAACGTAGCCGGAGCGACCGGGGGCTCGTACCGGTAACTTGTAAGTGGATACGGTACGGAGGCCTCGGTTTGGTACGGAACCGAAGTTTGGTTAAGCTTAACTCGATGGTGGTGCCGAAGGTGGCCATGGGTGGAGGGGTCGATGGGTGGAAGTGGTTGGTGGAGCGGGTAATGGGGGTCTACTGCGCTTCGTATTGGGGTGGTTTGATATTTTGCTTCTGTGGTGGTGGGAGCTACAACAGAATGCAGCTCAGGTACCCCAGCAGCTATGGCATAAATATATGTACCTACATGGTCTACGTATTGTACCTGTTGGTTGTGTGATACAATACCTACCTAGAGTACATGCTCTGAGGCAACACAACGACACATACGTATGACTCTTGCGAATGATCTGGGATGACATATAAACATGTTTAGTCTTCTAGCTGTAGAATTAGTCGTAGCTACTCTATATTATCTTCAACAATGCCACAATACGTATACCCCCCGTCTCGTATTAGCCCTGTTCCCGCGGCCGTCTTAGACAAGGTATGTACGTCACTTATCAATCCCACGATACCATATCGCCGTGATCTTCATGGCCCATGCAGAATAGCTATATCCCTGTCTTTCTTGTTGTTAATTGTCTCAGATCAATGCACGGCTCTCCTCGGGTTGCAATTGAAGATCGGTGCTATTTCCTCTCTTGCCTGGTTCTCAGCCGCGAGTTTGGAGTACTGAACTGGGCCAACAGTACTAATGATTTTCGGATTTCATGTCTCCATTGGTCGATTATAAGACATAACCTAGACTATGTATTCTCAGCTGAACTTTTACGTCTATACAAGACTAAAGTAAGTGCTCATGAGTATAAATATCAGCATGTCGACAGGAACAATCTTGAGAAGTCAGTAGTCAGTAGTTAGTACCGTCCGAGTACTGCTATACAGGTTAATCTGGTTATAAATCTTTCACGATGCGTCCCATCTTCCAAACCCTCATAACTTCTACCTTCCTATTACAGACAGCAATAACCACCACCTCAAGCCCTCAATGCCGCTGTCTTCCATCTTCCCCATGCTGGCCCACTTCCTCTGAATGGACCGCTCTAAACCAGACCGTCTCTGGCAAACTCCTTGCCGCCCACCCTGTCGGCTCTGTTTGTCACGACCCCACATACGACGCAGCCGCCTGCGCCGATGCTACAACAAACTGGAGCTCCTCAAGTTGGCGCGGTGATAGGCCCGGTATGCTATACTAATAGTCCCATAAGTGCAATTGAGTGTGATAATTGAGAATATATATATAGGCGGCATGGTCGGAGTCAACTGGGAGGTAACCCGCAACGAAACGTGTTACATTACCACACAGCGCAACAGCACATGCGGACAAGGCCGTATACCAGTCTACTCCATTGCTGCCACGACCCCCGAGGATATCCAGACGGGTGTCAACTTTGCGCGTACGCACAACTTGCGGCTGTCGATCAAGAATACCGGGCATGATTTCCTAGGACGATCAGCGGCGAAGGGGTCGTTGCAAATCTGGACGCATGCTATGAAGAGCATTAAACTTACTGATGATTTCCGACCTGCAGGGTGTAGCCCCGAAAAGAAGGGTGAGTCAGCGGTGACAATTGGCGCAGGAGTGCAGTTGCGAGAGCTGTACAAAGCGGCCATGGAAGGTAACCGGACCTTTGTTGCTGGGTTTGCGAGTACCGTAGGTGCCGCAGGCGGGTATATCCAGGGTGGCGGACACTCAGCATTTGGGCCGTGGCAGGGAATGGGCAGCGATAATGCGTTGGAGTTTAGGGTTGTTGTTGCGGATGTAAGTTGTGCTAACCCCTAAATCCCATGTCAATGATTGTTTTGCCTGTTTTTTCAATACCTTAAGACAATGATCGTTTAGTAGGTTTCTGTTAATCCTTACTAACAATTTCATTTCTCGCAGGGGTCTCATGTCATTGCGAACGAATACCAGAACACTGACCTCTACTGGGCCCTCCGAGGCGGCGGCGGCGGTACATTCGGCGTCGTAACCAGTGTCACGCTCCGGACATTTCCAGACGTCCCCATGGTCATAGCGCTGTATAATTTCACCGCGCCCGCCGATGAGTACTACAACTTCCTCACAGACTTCTACAACTACGTCCCCGCCATTAGTGATGCCGGTGGCTCTGGTTATCATTTCATGTTCAACAACCCCCCACAGCCAAATTTCAAGTTGACAAACTTCTTCCTCAACCAGACAAACACATCAGCAGTGAGCGCCATATACGCACCTCTTGTCTCAGCCTGCAAATCGAACACCTCCGAAACAGTATTCCAGTCCCTCCTCCTCCCTAGCGCAGCAACATTTATGTACTCCCGCCTTACTGGCACCGAGCTTGCCGGCTACAACGCCGTTCTCGGCTCCCGTCTCATCTCCCGCACCTTCATGGACTCAGAGACCGGGCCCGAGAAGCTCGTACATGTGCTGCGCGCGCTCGCGCCGAACCAGGGCTCAGAATTCACGGGGCACCAGGTGGCTGGTGGAAAGGTTGCACAGAATGCACACATCGACAGCGCGATCAACCCAGCATGGCGCCGGGCGATCATGCATCTGACGTTCCATCGGGGATGGTATGACGACACGCCAGTGGCAGCACAGGAGGCCATTACAAAGAACATCACGAACGTGGAGATGGGGATGGTGAAGGCGTTGGAGCCGGATATGGGCGCGTATCTGAACGAGGCAGATCCAAACGATGAAGACTGGCAGAAGATATTCTGGGGGGATAACTATGAGAGGTTGGGGGCGGTGAAGAAGGAGTGGGACCCGCAGGATGTCTTTATGTGCTACCCTTGTGTGGGTGCGGAGAGATGGGACCGCGAGGGTATCTGTAGGGTTTAGTTGGCTTGGTTTGTTTATATAGTTAATATTTGAGTAGTAGTATTCCCAGTGTCACCAGTTGATTGTTTTCTTATGACATTAAATGAATAGTTAAATGAAGAAAAATCTTCGGCCACGAGAGATCCGCTTCCGCATTTATCTTGCCGGAAACTGTAAGGATGTCGTTTCTAACGCTAGTGAGCTGATGACTATGAGTAAAAGGTCTCTAGGGGCCGACAGATGGACCGGATTGTTAGAAGAATTTTACTGTGTATAGCTAGAGGCAGCGCAGCTATGTGGTTGTTGCCATGCAGGGGTAGGAATTTCATGTAGGATATGAGGATGACGAGCCCCGTTGAATCCCGGCCGAAGAGGAGGAGGAGGCCAGTAAACATTATATAGTTCCCAGAGTTATATTATCGTTTATGGCCAAGTAGTGCAATTCCTACCCATGATCAAAAGAGTGCGCTGATCCAAGGGAATTGAGTTGGAATATACTATAAGGCAGATATATAGACATCCCACCAAAAGATTATATCTACACTGTGTGGCGAAGAGCGTATCAACTTTCCATCAGTCAAAACCTACTGAACATGTATATAGCGTAATCGATTGGATCATGATGTATCACTCGTGCTCAGTTTTCAACTGTTGTGTTCTTCCGTTTGGAATTTTATATCGCTCAAACACGCACACACATGTCTACGGGTTTCCCTGGTAACATTATTTAAATCCCGAGGTTATATTATAGTATACATCTATATATATAATCCCCTCTCTTGCCCGCTATCAAACAAACCTCTACTTAGAACTACAAGTCTTGTAATTACTTCGGCTGATAAAAATACAAATATATAATCATGCACGCCATAACACCGCCCAGCCAAACTCCTAAGGAAATAAATTTACATCTTCGACTAACTAATATCTCCTCTCTCTTAACACGGCCTCGGCTCTCTCCAAGAACCTATTAAACTCCACCACTGTAGCCAATGTCCCCGTCCCGTCGCTTCCACCACCCGTCACTGCGGCCGCAACTGTTTTGATCATGGCTTCTAGGCCCTCCATCCCTTCCTCTAGTTCACCCGGTTCTCGTGCCTTTCCTCGTTCGATGGTGTGGGTTACGTCCGCGAAGGTTTGCGAGATATGGTTTTGAGTCTATCCGCGAGTTAGCTAAATATATATATTTCGTGGGAAAGGTCTTTTTAAGATACCTCAGCACTCTTTGCGGCCATCTCATGTGCCTTCCTCACATCATCCATCTTCACCGCAACCTTACCCCTCTGCCTCTTGGTTTCCAACAATTCGGCCACCAGTTGTGCTTTTCTCTTCTGTGCCTGCCTCACTCTCATAGTAAGGCTAATATACCTCTCGAGCTCATCGGTAACTTCAAGAAGTCTGCAACTGAACTCTTCTTTGAACGCAGCAATAGTCCTTTTCTCGAGGTTACTTTTGGCATACTTTTCCCAGTATTTGTCTAGAATTTCTCCAGCCACCTGGTTGATCACATCGACGGGGTTTACACCACCACGATTGGACCCGGGGGGTAGTGCATACGAGGCTGACTTTGATAGGCGGTGAACGATAACTGGGTATGTTTGGGTTTCGCCCTCTTCCCGGGTGGGCGGGGCTTGGATTGTTTTGGTTTGGGCTGTTTCTGTGGCTGGGTAGAGGAGTTCTTGCGAGATTTGGAGAGAGATTCTACATCTGAATCGGCTTCCCCCCCAGAGTCGGATAGGTCGCTGGGTTCGAGTTGCTGCTCCTGGCCCAGCCCATTTGCCTCCCCCTCTTCTTCCCCCCCCCCCCCCCCTCCTCCTCCTCGTCGTCTTCCTCATCGACAGGAACTCGTGGAGGTGCTGGTTTCTTACCAATAAGCTGTCTTTTCCGTTTTGGCCCTGTTTCCGAAGGTGTTTCTTTCCCCACTTCTTCAACCGGATCATGCGCCATGTTTTTAAATGGCTGGAGCTCGTCTTCGATTTGCTCAGGTTGACCCTGACCTTCTAGAATGACCTTCCTCCGTTTATTTCGGCTCCCCGGACTCATTACAGGGACTACAAGAGCGTCACTCTCACCATCTCCTGGTACTATCTGCTGGATCATTGATCCATCCGCTTCTTGTGTCGGCTCTTCAATGACCATTCCAATTGTTTGATCTTCCGTTATCTCCTGTTGTTCGTTCTCTGGTTCTGATTCCCCTCCCGCCTCATTCTGCTTATCTTCCTCTCCCTCTTCCGCGTCAGCTTCTCCCCCTTCATATGCCGAGTCCCCTAATCCGTCAATTTCCATCAACACTTGTTTCTGCACCTGTGCCTCTACCTCTTCGACCAATTCTTTTTCGGCCTCGACGCTTTCCTTCTCCCTGACAGCTGTAATTTTTGTAACTGGTTGCAGTGGCTGGATTGTGAACCCGATATCTGCGACTTTACGCGTTCTATTTCTGGTCAGCACAAACACACGCTTTAGCTCGTTAAGTACCAGGCAACTCACCCAGCACCCCTCTGCCTCATAGCAAGCTTCTCCTGCCGCCTCTCCGCAGCTGCATTGAGGCGCCGCTTTGTAATCCCATCGGCCTCGGGAGTGGTAAGGAATTTATCAGGACTTGGCTGCCTGGTTCTCTTCCCGCGTGCAATTGGCGTGACTGCTGCCACAGCTGATGTCCGAGTAGTGGTAATAATTGGTAGCGCCGGCGCATCAGATGATACCGGTGTTCTACCGCGGGGCGGTGAATTGCGCGGCGGTGATTTGCGCGTTACATCTGGCTTATCGAGGGGAACGGGAGCTTCTTCTTGGAGTGGAGAAGGGCTTATTACTCCGCGAGCTGCTCCGGCTGGGTCCGATAATGGTGGGTTTGTCCGAGGGCTTGTCCGTCGCGGCGGGACTTGGCCTGTTGGTGGTGAAGTGGCTTTCGGGGGTGCGGGAGGGGGTACTGCCTCTCCTACCAAGGCAGTGGAGACACCCCCGACGGGTCGTATTACAAAGCCATCAGATAGAACTGGACGTCTATTCGTAAACCATTAGAATTATTCCGCTGCGACTTGTTGAGAGGCGGGCTAAAGGTCATTCCTGAACTAAAAAACTTACCCAGCTCCTCTTTGTCTCATTAGTCGCTCCAGATTTCTTCTTTCCCCTGGGTTCTGGGTTAGCAGGAGGAGAGATAGAGGAAGGAATAGAGAGTTAGAGGCATACTCCACCCGGGCTCCATCTTGCGATTTTTTAATTGGCGGTAAAGACGGGGAATTTCAAAACGCGTGTTATCTTTAGCTCATGTCAAAGGGAGTGGGATGCGACGTTTGGTCAACGCGTTGCTGCCGAGTGACAGATGTGTGCTGACTCATCATCAAGCCAACAAGTGGTCAATGCGAGGGGTGCCACGAAAGACAATCCCGAACTTGAATTCCGGCTATGCAATTAGCTATGCAAACTCACCGGAATACACGCCAAATAATGAGTCTGGAAGAGAGGAATGCCGTGTGCATGTTTCAGGCTGAGTAGATCATCATCATACCAAATCACTCTGGTTAGATACATACCTTGAATCAATAATACAGTAAAATACTGCGAACGTGAACTTGTCGTGTGAACACTTGACCTCAGGATTTAGACATGAAAGGGGAATATCTTTGAGCTATATAGATAACCTTAATTTACGCCTGTGGTAAGACTGCACCGTGCCCTACATATTGTTGAGAGCAATCCACCCCCGCGTGTCTCCAAGAACAAAGGCACTCCTCCGGACAGTTCTCCTGTCACGCTCATCGCAAACTATCACAATGGAATTCTTTAGTTAACTCTAGCTTTCTGCACTTCATCCAAACTTCTTTCTGATCAAAATTTATAACTCAAGCCCACTATTTACAAGAATCAAAGAAGAGCATGACTGTTTAATCTACACCCAAGAATGATTAAGGGATAGAAAGAATAATAATAATGACAAGACCCACCGACCAACTTCATGATAGTTTCTCGCTAGTTGGCATTAAAGAAAGACAAAAGAAATTGCACCAATGACTGTTGGAACTATGCAAGTAATATGCATGTCAAAAAACAGGAACACTGACATAGGGGTTTAAAAATACAAAGAAGGGGGTGAAAAACGAGAATTGAAGAAGGCTCATAAACAACTCCAGAAACCCAAAACCGAGTGCCTCAAAACAATAACAATACAACTCCAAGTAATATTCAATACGCATACGCAACCAATGCCATTTCATTTTATGCCTTTTTCTTATCGGCGAGCCCCCTCCTCTTCATCATCGCTGGCTTCACTGGAATCTTCGATTGCTGACATCTCAGGAATTGTGAACCCTGTCATATCGTACTCGTCCTCGTCATCCGTTTCGGCTCTGCCACGGTCGGATTCACGCTCGTCATCATTGCCGACTCGAAGGTCCTCTTCCTCATCGTAATCGGACCCTCTGACAAACTCTTCATTGACATCGTAGAGGGCGTAGATTTGGTCGCATTTGTAGTCCATGTCGGCAACAAGCTCATTCATCTCGTTGGTAAGCATCTTTCTACGCTTCTTGCCGATGGTGGGGTCCAGATTCATAAATTCATCCGCCTTTTCTTGGTAGTTCCTATGAGATGAGGTATTTTAGTATCACGGCAATAGAAAGAAATGTGGGGAGTGTCTTACAGTTTGAGATGAGAGAACTCATCTTGAAGCTGCCTAACAACTTTTGAAAGTTGTCTTCGAGGAGCCTGCGAAGGTCTTGGAGTTGGCTCTTCTTCATATCCATCATGGGCTTTAATAGCAGCCTTTTTCTTTGAAGCAAGCTCAAGCACAGGAGCGGGGATGGCCATGGAGTTATCGATATCAGCAAGTGGGTTTGCATTCCGTTGTTCTTCTTCTTTAGTTCGAAGTTTGTTCTCGCGATGGCAAACAGTGCATTGGTCTGGGTCGTGGGCAGCCAGACGGTTGACTACTTTCTGAACACGTTCCGGGAGAATAGTGACGTCTTCGGCAGGTGTCTCTGGAGCATCAAGCGGGATCTTCGCTGGAATTGGAGGAGGCGCAAGAGGGTTTTTGATCAAACCTTCTTCAAACTCAGACGTCGACTCATTTTCCTCCATGTTTTGCTTTGCGATTTCTTCAGCCAGGACACCTTCATCCTCATACTCCTCCTCAACCTCTTCTTCAACTGGGACATTCATTGTCAAATCCTCATCATAATAGTAAACCACTTTCTTGATGAGTCTTGTTTTCTTGGCCGGTATCTGTGCTTTCGCCTGTGATACGGGATCAGATAGGGGCACCTTGGAAGGCTCTGGGTGTGGTGAAATAATTGGGGAAACCATTGGTTTCTCGACCTCTTTGCCCTTACTAAATCGTTCTATCCTGACTAACTTGGGTGCTTTGCCGGGCTCAGAAGGCTCGCCAGATTCAGTTTGATGCGAAACTTTTATCAATATTGGCTTCTTAGTAGATGTCCTAGACTTCGGCCGTTTTTGCTCCTTGGATCGGGCATCCTCTGTCGCTATGACCTCGAGAATGGCGGTATTGGCATTGGCGGCGGCTGCCTTTCTTTTTCTCCTCTCTTCATTGATATTCTTTGCTATTCTTCTAATATCCTCGGGCTAGTTTACTCATGTGTTAGTTGTATATGAAATATTCGGGAGATTTGGGCATGGTGGACTTACAGAAATAGACATAACAGTATCATCTACAGCAATCATTTTTTCAAGATTCTTCCCTTTCTCAACGTCCCTCTCTACGGATACACCACCAAGTACGCCCCTATCTTCTGCTTTATCGATAGTCACATTTTTTGATCTTTTGGGCAGAGTAAATGGCCGTTCTTTGCCCAGCAGCCTGTTAGATTCCACTAATGCCTGATTGACTCTTAATGCCTCGAAAGGAATATCTGGGCGAAGTTCCCTGAGTTGCTGTTTGATCAAGTTGTCGAGTTTCTTTTGCTGCTCAACAACCCGTTCCTGCTCCCTCTTGTCATCTGCTTCTTTCTGCCTTCTTGCATGTGACTCCATTGCAAGTCGTTCTTGCTCCCTTTCTGCCTCCCTTTCTGCCTCCTTCTCCCTGGCGCGCTGCTCCTTCCTTCCTGCCTTTGCGGCTTCCCTCTCTGCCTTCTCTGCCGCCGCAGCGGTGATCGCATCGCGCTTTGCGGCCTCATTCATCACATCCTCTGCGTTCATTGCAGCCTCCTTGGCTACCTTGGCTTTTCGTCTCAGACGGTCTTCTCGCTCTTTCCATTCCTCACGTTCCAGCCCGAGCAGCTTACTTTGCTCAAGAATTTCTTGGCGTAGTCTCTGAATTTCTGTCTGGAGCTCTAGTATGGTGTTTTTGAGGTCTTCGTTATTAGCGATTGCCATTGCCACAGAATTGACAGCGTGGTTGCGCTCCTCCTGCATGTGCTTCAGTGCAATTTTGGCGGTCTCGAGGTCTCGTGTAGACCTATCAAGCTGTGTGTGGAGGCTATTGACTGCGCTTTCAAGTTCTACAGCGAAAGAACGTTAGTATCTGCTTAAGAAGCGGAACCAACCCAATTGAACATACTGAGTTTCTCCATTTGAAGCTCTAATTTGGCTTTCTCCCTCATTCTCTCCTGCGAATCACCATCATCACTACCACCAAAAGCGCTATCGCCGCTGCGCTTTCGCTCAAGATTCTCCCCAACTGCCCTTGACTTCTGTCGTTCCATTTGAGTGCGTGTCTCACTCCTTCGGAGCTCAGTCTCGAGTCTCATGCAACGATGTTCAGCCTCTGCCTTAGATTCTTCCAACTTCGCGACTTTCTCCTGGAGAAGTCTCATCGCCATTAAGATTGCACGCTCATCGTGGGGTATTGGGATAGAGTCGATAGCCCTATGGTCCTTGGTATTGCCGAACGGTCCCCTCTTCATTGACATTCTAGTTGCGTCTCCAGGATAACCAGAGATAAGCTCTGACAAGTCCGACATTTCCGGAAGCATGAAAGATTGCTGTGTAATTCCCGCAGTTATGTTGTCTCGTTTGCCCGGATTATAGTTCTTGAGCTGTTGAAGCTTACTTTTTACATCCGTAGATGTTGTGTTACCTTCCAGACCAAGCTCATGCAAGAACGCATCTGTAGACTTGAAGTTCTGGGGGATTTTCGCTGCTGGTTGTTTTCGACTCTTAGCAATCATTGCAGGAAGATCGTCTGTGAGGTCATTTCCGTTTGTTTCCGGGATACGGGCGACACCTTTCTCCTTCGTAGTTGCCTTAGTTTGTCGGGGCTTGGGGGAACCCCCGAAACGCGCATTTCCGAAACCACCTCGACGTTTAATGCTGCCGGCATCGGAACCGGATCCTTCAGCGTCACGTTCGAGGGTTCGTTGGATACCGGGGAAGCGCGATTGTGAGCCGCCGCTGCTGCTGGATACAAAATCTCCAACCTTTACTCCACTTGTCTTCGTCCGTCTATTGTTTTGTGGTGTCGAAACGTCCAGCTGAGACAGATCAAAGTTAATCATGCTTCCTAGTCTCTGCCCATTCGAGGCCGCGCCTGTTCGCGCCTCAACCTCTTTGCCTTTGTTACCAGCGGTTTGAATTGAGCCTCGAAGCTCATCTGAGTGCGCACTTCCGGAGCTGTTTTTTCGCTCGGCGGGCACATTGGAGAAAAGTTTCCCACCCGACTTTCGAGTGCTTCCACCGATCGAGAAGGGATGGTGAGATGAAAAGTCGATTGACCGAAGGCTATCATCTAATCCGGCTTTATTATTATTATTTCTGTTAGCTCCACGTCCAACCTCCATGCTGTCTTCGGTTATATCGTTTCCAGCCATCGAAAAGTCGGGAAATTGGTTCAGCAGTTGGGTGTTTATTGTTGGTGTTTGTTGAAGCATGTCGATTTTGCGAGTGGACATCCCTTGCGCGTCGTTTGAAATGTCGAACGAATCGAGCGTGCCGCTGTCATCGTTGTTGTGACGACCACTACCATGAGAAGACGAAGAGAACGAATTGGACTGGAAGTCACGCGCGAGCTCACGCCCCAACCGAAATCGGTCGTTATCAGGGTCAGCCATAACAGGGCCAGACGGATAATCTGTCTCGTCAAAATAAGCCATTATGGCCGATTGTTAATGCGTGCGTCTTGATATTTATTGTTATGATGAAGAAGGTGGATGTTATTGTTGACGTTTTTGTTGATGTTGGTTGTTAATGCACAAGTGTGCGTTCACACGTTTGGAGCTCGCGTTGTACCGTGACTACCAAGTGAGACTGGAGGGGAAGTGGTTGGAGGAGTCGGCTGTAGTTGAGGCTAACAAATTTTACTCGGACATTACAGCAAGCAACCGAAAAGCAGCAATTGTCTCTTTGGGAAGGGAGTGGGCGGTAGGAGGCGAGGGACGGACCAGTGAGGGTGCTGGGTAGCGGAAGTGGGATGGGTTGAGTTGGATGTCTGTGGATAAAGAGATTGTATGGAAGATGGGGATGGTGCAGAAAGACAATAGGTTTGAACAGGGGACAGACTCGACTCTCTCCCTCACTCGCCCAATCACTCAACTCACTCTGGAGTTATGTCTCTCTGGGTATTGCAGACAGACAGAGAGCAGGCATAGAAGATGGGGAGGGCTTTTCATAGACAAAGAGTTGGTGTCTTTGTTGTTGTTGTTGTTTGTTTTGCTTCTCTTCTTAAGGACGCTTGGCGAACAAGGGCCCACACTGCTCATACCATCTCTAACCGCGAAAGTATGAACAGTACCTACATGTAGGTATATACAAGCCAACCAACCAATCAAACATCTTATATACTCTAATACTCTGAAGACTTTTATTGGGGGTTCAACCAATCTTCGTAGGTCCTTATGTTTGTCCTCATGATTCTCTGGATACTTACGAATGCGCTCATGGAGGGTATGATCACTTGTTGGGCAATGTGTACTACATGTAAATATCAAATATTACATGTACACATTACTTTAATGGAATAGTATCAATTGTGAATATCTTTCCTACTGTACACTACAAGTAAAGACAAATCCCCAAGAGATCCTACAACTCAAAACAGTAGAAAGACGGGCATTGTCAAATACAAAGGAAATTGCCCAAAAACCCAGCGGATGCCCCCTAACCCATTAAAAAAACATACGAAAGGTAATACATGCATATGGGATACGGAAGTCATGACAAAGAAAATCTGCCGAGGCTAGGACATGGGCAACATGGACTTAAAAAATTATTACAAGTAGATAATACTGAGATGAAAAACCAAGCCCTAATGAATAGAAAAACGGAATGAAAATACCCTAACGCATCGTCTTGATCAACATTCCTCCCTTACTCTATACTCTCCTCCAACATAAGATATCAAGAATGATAAAAATAAAAACCGCCACACGCTTCGTAAATAAACCCCAGATTGGATATATGCTTACTGCTTTAGTCGAATAGAAGCAAGAAAAAGATACAGATGAAACTTAATACATTCTCGAGGTCGAAATCAAAAAGATAAAAAAAAATGTTATATAGATATAAAAGGCAAACGTTCCCCACCCGAAACATCTCTGACCCCCGTTGGCTCCAGCAAACAAAACAAATAAAAACACCTAGTCAACGCTCTTTAAAAATAGTAAGGGTAATCTTAAATAACCATAGCACAGAAGAAGTGGAAAGTAGAGAATAAAAGAACTCGAGACAAAGGAAGAGAAGAAAATAATAAAATCCCACAATCTGCTCATACAATAGACTAGTGCAGTGCACATTGAAAAATCTTACGTGCATACGGGTAGTCATAGTTCGCCGAGGAAATTCCTATCACTCCTTAACCAATGGCGCTGGTTCCTCGCCATCTTTTCCCTCACCCTCATGCACCAAGGTGGTTGATGATGTTGTGGTAGTAGGTGATTGCTCCTCATCTTCTTCCTCATTCACCTCGGCCTCATCCTTTGTGGTAGGTACTTCAATCGCGACAGGGACTTTCTCAACAGAAGCCTGCTCAACAGTAACTTGCTCTACTGGAGCTTGCTCAACAGCCACCTCCGCAGGAGCCGCGGCTTCCACAGGAGCTGCCGGGTCTTCGGTCGTCTCGGGCTTGGATTCTTGCGCAGCTTCCGCAATATCCTCCTTCACCTCCGGGACAGCGTCTTGAGCGACCTCTGTCTTCTTTTCGCCTGTCTTCTGCTTCACCAGCCTGGCTAGTGATGGCGGCAAAGATGGTTCCCGTCTGCGACTTGTGCTGGCTACAGACGCTGAGCGTTTCGAGGGCGCACCTACCGCAGGTTTCTTGTCTGAAACTTTACCAGCACTAGCGGTTGTTGGCCTCATCATGCGAGACAAGAAATCGCCTCCTGCGCCTGCAGGGGTAATGCTCGCCAGGGATCCAACACTGGTTCTATTTGGGTTCCTAATCGCAGCTGAGGTTTGTGGTCTCTGAGGCGATCTTTGTTCCTTCCTTCCGGGCCTAGAAGAACCAGTTCCGGAATTACCCCGACGCATGGCAACAGAGCCTTCTGGTGGTGACCGGTTACGAACAGACGCGGATGATGGTGCCCTGGCATTGCGGGCTGCCGCAGCCTTTTGCTCCGCCGTAAGTTTGGCCGCAGATGCTGTAGTCGACGCGAACGCAGAACTACGGACAGTGGGAGGCTTTGTTGACTCACGTGCTGGCTTCGTTGTTTCTGACTTTTGTGTTGCTACCGATTTCGCCTTCGATGCAGCTGTAGTTGGGCGAGACTTTGGTACTGTCGATGCCGATGTCGATGCCGATGCGACAGCAGGGGTGCGGGCCCTTGAAGATGCAGGGGCAGTGTTCGTAGTAGTTGTGGTTGATTTCGCTCGTGATGAAGAACTTGAACTTGATGCGGCGTTGCGCGCTGGACTTTTGGGGGCGAGTGCCGGAGAGGGAAGCGGGGATGCAGTGTTAGACTTCGATGAAGGGAGAGAGAGGGTCTTCCCAGATTTGTTAGTAGCTACCGACTTGGTGCTTTTGCTGGTGAAGGCTGATTTGGTGGGAGACCTTGGCGCCGGCGCACCTTTGACCGTACTAGATTTCGACTTTGGTTCTTCCTTAGTAGGCTTCGCCTGACCTTCCTTTTTCTCCCCATCTTCATTTGACCCACACACCGGCTCAATTGGCGTAACTGGGGTTTCATCCTTCTTTGTAGAGACCTTCTCAAAAGCAGGAAGCAATACCGTAGGCTTAACTGGTTCTTGCTTTGGCTGCGAAAAACGTCCACCATTTATAATCCCAAAATCCTTTTTGGAACTCAACTCATCAGGTGTCCTCATTCCATTGAGAGCCTCTGTAATTTGATCTCTGCTGTCAATTGCAGGGTGCTCCTTTCCCAAAGCCTCCAAAGCCTCTCCGGACAGCTTTTGGCCTTCGGGAAATGTTACTGTAGGACTCGTTACTGAGGGACTGACTGGTACCTTCTGCAGCCCAAGAAGCCCATTGTTGTTCCCTGTGACAGCCACAAAGGAGGTCCTGACCTTACCAAGAGGCCTAGGGGCAGCAGGACTCTGATCCCGAGAAGAAGTACCAGCCGCAGTGCTGCCACTCGTAGGAGCTGGGGAAGCAGGGTTGGATTTTTCGAACATTGCGAGCAAGCCCTTAACACCGGCACCGGAGGGGCGAGAACCTCCAGTACGTGTTGATTCCGGGGAAGCCATTGTTTCTTTTTGTCTATTAAACCTCCTAGTTTATGACAAATTTCTCGTGTATTTTATTGGATTGTTTCTGAGCTCGGCTGGCGGGGGAGGGGACGGTGGGATGAAAGATATTGCTTTTTCGATCCTTTCTGGCGACTGTGTTCTTTTATTGAGGAACGCCCTATTACTTCCCGGTGGAAGAAAGGAGGGAAGCAAAGAGCTGCAGACGGAAAGGTCTGCTCTGCTGGAATTTGGGATAAAGGATAGTGGATGAATAATCACAGGGATGAATGAATGTTATGGATGAAAGGAGGGAGAGGAGACGGAAGAAGAGCGAGAGAAGAGCGAGAAGGGAGAGAGGGGTAGTCGTGTTGATGTTTGTGTGTTTACCGCGTGTTCTCTCAAGTACTGCGGGACGGAAAGGTACAGAGGTTTTTAGGTTTGTGGAGGGAAAATAGTGGCAGCAGCTCCACACCGCCCCGCCGCCGGGATTGGGCAATAACTATGGTTGCGACGTTGGACCGGTAGGGTAGCCGCGAGTTGAAAGTTTCAGGAGTAGTGAGTGTAACGCGCGAATGGATGAGAAGGAGGAAGAGTAATTAATAATGAGAGGATCAATCAGGATTCCTCGAGGTTCTGAAGGAGTTTAAGCGACAGGGAGTGCAGATTTTCCAAGTAAAGGGGAAAATGAGTATGTCCGTATATGTATATGTCTGTCTGTATGTCTGTCTGTATGTAGAAATGCCAGGGTACCTATGTGGAAGGGTTGGGCTAACAGGAAGTGAGGGAAGGGAGAGTGACCGTTGGGTGGGCGGCTGTGGTAGGTATCGTGGAGGAAGAATGAATATAGGAGAAGGAAGGTGAAATAGACGGATATGACGAGGCCGAGGGGAAGGACGGGCGGCCAGGACGGACCACAATTGAGCACAGTACTTTAGAGTATTGTTGAGTGAACGAGCACAGCACAGCACAGAAACACAAGGGGGGGGAGGGTGAGGCTGCAGAAGTGGATTGAAATAGCAACAGACGCGATGTTTACACCCGCTGGTGGGTGGAGGGAAACAAAACACGATGGAATGGAATTTAGATGTAGCCTCTAGACTTCTCTTTTGTACCGTATGTAGAGTGTGTACTTACAAGTGTGTACTCGTAGCTTTATAGCGTTTCCAAACACGACCAATATTGCATGACATACGAAAAAGCGCCAAATCCACCTTTTTGTATGTCATGCAATATTGGTCGTGTTCGGAAACGCTATAAAGCTACGAGTAAGTGTTGTATGCAAAGTGATTTGAGGTTGCTGCAGTCCACCTAACTAATACTGACTTCTTACACCTCTACTCTGATCTGGGTCTACTCTGGATCTATTTTTCACTCTGTACGCGTGTGGTGCTTGCTTGCCCACCTCAGCCCTCCAATGTGCTTTTTTCACTGCACTTCGCTACTACTGTATCCACTATTATCTGTTGTCTTGACTGGAGTCATCAAGTTCTCGTGGCGATGAACAATTATTTCTGGTGGTGCATTAGCGAGAAGCCACACGCTGGCCACACCACAGTGGCCAGATTATTCAGGAAAGGGATTCTGAACAGGGGATTGGAAAGGGGCCTGGTAAATTGGTAAATTAGGTACTCGGCTGATGTTTCACTTCTCAAACCCATGCCCACCGTCGCCAGCCTAGAAACTTCCGTTTCGATTTGCACTAGATGTCTACTCATCAAATTGAGGTCCCTACCTGACACATACCTACAGGTACACAAATACATACCCTACTGGCAGTTTGGGGAAATATTCTGGCCTTTTTTTAAATTACACTTGTAAGCATGGGTCATGTAGATACGGACTTGCATTTATACGTTACATATTCGCATATCTGTCCTTTCCAGATACATGTAGTATTGAGGTTGGGGGTTTTTATGGAGAAGGACGGCGTGCTGCCTGCATGGGCCGCTCAAGGCGGGGTATCCAAAGTACTCATATCAGCGCATCTTGCGTTCTGGGCACCCCACTAGCAACGGGAACTTCATGACGTTGAGAACGGTCCGTGTCTACCTCGCTCATACTCTAAATACGTACTGTCCTACTCGCAGTATCCAGTCATAAAACCATCAACCTTCTATTACTCCTACAGTACTATTGTTGGCGGCGGAGTTCCCAGTGTCTACTCAATCGGTTCAACTCGCAGTTAATTTGACAGAAGTACCAAGTACTTCACAAGAAGGGGAATGGCGACTGCAAAAATCCAGCATGCAGCAAAGGGAGCATCCAATGCTGCATATATCAATAATCCAATTCTCGCTATGTTCAACTACTTTCGTGATGAACTCGACGAGCACCATGACCGTCGTGAGCGGGTTATCAAGGCTTCGCGCGATATCACTGCGCTCAGCAAGAAAATGTACAGAATCCATCAATGAATTTACCTCGGAGAGAGAGAAGATCAAGAAAAGAAGAATAAAGGCGTTGATAGAAGATAAAAAAAAAAATTAACACAATCACAGGATTTTTACTCTTCAACGGTACATCTCCTCATTCCAATTACTCATACTATTCCCACCTCCGCTATGGTCGCTGAATTGGGCTTTGAATCACACAGTGCCCGGAAACTACTAGCTCCACTTCCTGCATCCCTGGACAAGGAATACCAGACCCGTCACTCCCAGATTCAAGCTCTATTCTCCTCGATTGCACCTGACCTCCAAGACCTCAACGCCCATCGTTACGCTAGACAAATTTCGGGTGGGATCCAAGAGTACATTGAAGCTCTCTCCTTCCATCATTATCTCCTCACCGGATCCCTCATCCCTCTCGCTTCCGTGCGTGACAACGTCCGCAATCTCATAGAAATTACACCAGCAGACTACATCCTTGGGATCTTTGACCTGGTCGGCGAGATTATGCGCTTTGGGATTACAATGATTGCCACGCGTGGTGATGTTTCGAAACTACTACGCGACATACGGGAGCTAAGGATGCAGTTCGAAGCTTTAGATACCTCTGTAGGAGGAGGAGGTTTGTTAGGCAAGGAGGTTTCTAAGAAGATGGGCGTCATGCAAACATGTGTCGAAAAGGTTGAGACGGCAGTTTGTGGATTTATCGTTAGAGGAAGTGAAAGGCCGAAAGGCTGGGTTCCAGAATTGACAATAGAGAGGGCGGTTGGCGGGGGAAGAGGAGGTAATTTTGATGAAGATGGGGAAACGTGATCTCAAACTCGGAGCATCAAAGAAAAACCCTTTACGCGAAGGAAATTTGACATGATTTGCACGGAATCTTTTCAATTACCCATCGAGATTCAATGCTCAGGGGATTTTTCTTTTTTTTATTTCTCGCAGCTACTTTATCAATATTTTCGCGAATCGACAAGTACTAAAGTAAATTGCTATCAGCATGGCTGATGCCCTAGTAAAAATGATGTTAGTCACGAGAATGCAAGAAATGCTCGCTAGTATCCTAGAAAATCTCGACTTTTGATGGTAAACATAGGATTTTCTTAATTATCGAATTGGAATACTGAGCTGTATATGTCTACGCAGTTTATTATGACAGGAAGTCCCATCCCCTACAGACTGGAAGCTTTATAACTGGTGTTGTTGACCTCGAGTGAGACATGGTGACTCTGCACCATGGCGCGATGAGAAGGTGCATATCACCAGAGTATGGGGATATTAGTGACGTATTAACCTGGCCGTTAGGATACATGTATGTATTGATCGTCTACGGGCGCACGTCTTGCATGAAATAGACTATATGTACTCTAGAGTACCTACATGTATGCATGACCATGATCCTTGTTTATTAGACCCCAACCATACATGTATGGTTTGGACTGGTGATGGGCCTACATGTATATAATCCAGTCTAGACGCGCGGCGGTACATGTATATTCAGGCATGACCTTATCGGTAGACCATCCATAAGAGTGTCTAGGAAAACATAAGACAGAATCCTTTCCCTTTCGGAAATGACTATCGCATGAATGGACTCGAAAAATGGTTATCGTATAGGTACGGTATCATGTTCTATATATAGCCTCCTTAACCCTCTAATTACTCCCAAAAACATCTACTGCTCTGTCAGCCTGATCCCCATTTCTGTCTTCCCCGCGACACTAATATCGCTTTTTGGTAGTACGCTCTTTTTAGGGTTATTTCCGACGTCCTAGGACCCGGAATGAATCTATCCTTTATACGAGAAATGAACTTACATTTGGTATTTTTAGAGTTAGAGTACAGTGACAAAGCGTGGAATCTATCCATCCAGCAAGGGTAGTACATATATGTGGTGCGATTGAGGTGAATAGGTAATTAGATACGAGTGATATTTCATGATGAAGTTACCTTATTCAATCCTTCCCTAAATGCAATACCTTACTCATGATAGATTATATTTTTGAAACGGCAATGTGATGTATATAAATTAAATGGTTTGGTATGTGAGAAAATCGGTATGAATGGATGTTACGTACATGTAGTGAGTGTTTAATAAAATTGTGCATTCAAGATCGATCGAGCAAGCTAGCTATGCACAGCTAGAATAGGGGGTTATAGACTCAGCGCAGGTATATATAGCCGACTAATTATGTGATTGTAAGCGTATCGCTTTGAAAACAAATCTTTTAATGTTTAGAGACGTGTGTAGAGGTATTGCCTCAAGGGTTGAGGATGAAGGAGCTTTATACTTTATCTATAGGCAAGTGCATATCTGGGGCATTGATTTTATGACTAAAATAACATGGCCATTAAATTAAAGGAAGCATGAGGCGCATTTGAATGAATGAGTGATTCTTGTGAGACTACATGTAGATATTACTTAGATCTTAGATTAAGGCGATACGATGACATTCTTGCTATCGTTTACTGCCGTTGCCAGAAATCGATACTATGTTGGTAATCATTATACTAGGGGGTTCATATGTAGCCATTGTGACTTGTCGTTGTACATAGGCTCCGATAGCTGTATCCTACTTAGACAGGTGGAGCAGTGACTTTGGTGCCTCGATATATTCGCGAGCCTCTGGGTGAACGTAGATTTATTAAAGCTGCTGATTCGCAATGTGGGCATTGCACTGTAAAATAGCCCTTGGCGCAAGAATAGCTCTTTATGCACGAGTTGTTCCTCCACGGAATGAAATTATTGCCCCAGGACCCCATATCAAAACTCCAACCAACTTTCACATATTGAGAGTTATGCCCGGTATATAAATATATATATCTCTCCCAATGACTGAATGCTACACTTATCCTTGGTAAACACTAACCATCCTGAGCAGTAAATGAAATTGCAGCTTTGCTGTAGATGAATTCGTTGATGTCTAGCCTGTTCATTTTACTAATGTGGCGAAGATTTTCATCCAACCAATGCAGCGCGATGTTGTCCGGCCCGATAAAAATTACCTCGATATCCACAAATTTGTCTGTTTGGTTCGTCAAAAACATATTGTAGGAGTAAGTTCAAAGGGTAACCACTGACTGTCCACGAACTGACTGGCTGCAATTTGCCCCTTCCCTTTAACAGCCTTCGCGCCTGGCCACTCCACCTCGTGAGCAATGCGCGAAATGTCTGTGAGGTCCTCGACTATGAAAGTGTATTCTCCGCGTGGCACGTGAATATCACCTGTGATTTTAATGCCTTCTAATCTATTCGGGTTGGGCTGATGAAAAAGGATGAATTCCCATCCGTGAACCGAATAATCGCCAACCCACAGTCCTCTAAACGGGTGCCGTTCGTCGGGGGTATAAAGCCAGCTATCGAGTGCTGCGAAGGTTTCGAACTTTTCCTTCATAGCATATGGCAACCTGTCCGCTAGGGATCCACTGGCTCCGTCGAACCTCATCCATTTTCTGAACCGAAACAGCTTTTGTGAAGCATCAGCTACTGATTCCGGCTGATGCTCGCCATCTCTGTAGCCGTGCTCAGAGCTATTACGTGTGCGCTCAGCAGAAGGTATTTTTGTTGGCGGCCAGAGTGACATTGAGGAGACCTGCCGATCAACGGGCACCACTGTAGTGCGGGAAAGTGATGATGCTATCGAGCCCCACGTGGATGGCGGCTCTATTTCGAATTGTGCATTTGGAGGTGTATCTTTTGTAAGACTAAAGATTGGGCTTTCCCACAGTCGTACGAACGGTTGGATATCTGATATAAAAACAGTAGGGTCCAGCGACCATGGTTTCACGCTTGAAGGATCAAAGTTCATACTATGCGCTAAAAGATTGTAGATCTGAATGGCACCGGGTTCAGGATTATAGCGCGCAATGAAGAGGCAACCTGTAAACTGGCGATCGCCGTGCCAAACACGGCCGTGAAGCCAGAAATGGTGGTGGAGTGCTGCATATAGTTCTCTGAAGGATTCATAGGGCGTTGGGGAGCTTAAGCGTAAAGGAGAAACGACCCTGGCCCAGATAAGCTCCGATCTTGCGAGTATATTAAAGCGTCTGGAGACCTTTAAACAACGTCCAAGGCTAACCCCGTCGAGGAGATCCAGGGTGAGAGTCAGAATTTCTAAAATATATGAGGAAGAGTCAGTATAAAACAGAAAAGAAAATACAGGGGCGGGGAGGCGAAAGAGAAAGAAGGGGGAATCGCTGACCGTTTGGGAGATCAAGGATGTGCTTTGAGGGCTTGGGTATATCCATTTCGATGTCTGAGATTCTGCAAGGTAAGGTGCGATGAAACTTGAGGAGCGAAGGTTCAAGATATTGGCTAAGGCCTAGGTCGATGAAGAGGTCGATGAACTGGATTTAAGGATACATGTAGGTAGGAGTATGGGAGTTACCGAGTTACAAGTAATTCGTGAGTATTGGGGCCTATCGTTACCTACATACATGTACATACATGTAAGTACATGTACTACTAGTAAGAACATGTGGACACTTTAGAGTACTATTGTAACATATATCGATTGATAGTATATAGAATATGGTCATGGTTATATATGAATTTCCTGCGGGTCTTACTATACTACGGGTTATTTGTCTGCCTCCAAATTACTCTTCACGGGAATGAATTCGAGTATGTGCTGTAGGTATTGTGGAGCTGTACCTACAGTATTGTATTCTACAGTAGGTTATTGTGCCCTGTTCTGAAGAACACTCACTTTATCAATCATTATCAGCCCCGCTTCACGTGCTTGTGGTCACTGCATGGCTTGAGTTGCCACGACAACGGGCGTAAAGTACCAACGCGTCCTCACGTGATGTCATTATTCTTGGCCTTCTCCAGATCTTCGGTTCCTGCATCGACAGGTGAACGGTTCTGGGCTAGTACGCTTATGTCATAAACATACAGATACATCTTGTGTAGTGTATATACCGAAACTTTTAAGTACTACATGTACTCGCGACCAGCAACAAGAACCCGAAAATGCACGCCCTAATCTGCAATTTCCATTGGAGTAGAAGTCAAAAATACACCAAAGACTTGCAGCTGCATATTCGGGTTCTTGTTGCTGGTCGCGAGTACATGTACCGTACCTACTGTACATACATAAGTACATGTACCTACAAGTACATAAGTACTTGTATGTACGCCTGTACAACCAATGGTTCTTCTAGTCATAAGTTTAACTCTAGACGGTTTTGATATGAGATGTATGTACCGGGTGTTGAGGGTAAGTGATCAGAATCTGATAAGTAAATGTTGTGGTGAATACGTGTGTTTGTCTTATCAGATTCTGGTCACTTTTCGCTACACCCTAGTACATGTAGGTACATGTGTTGTGTGATTACAAGGCCAATCGTGTTTTGACATCTCTCCGCGGGTTCTGACTGGCTCTTATGTGAAGTACATCGTTGACCACGAACATCCAAGTTTTGTGGTTAGGTGACAAGTGTTGGCACTGTCATTTACCACAGGTTGTGTTCAATGTCATAGGGTTCTAGAGACAGGGAGAAGAAAGATGAGTAAGGAAAAAAAAAACAGGGAAGGTATGCGCCAAGCTCAAGTACTGCCAGCAGGTTGGTTATGGTTGGTTGGGTGCACCCCACTCCCTGAGAAATGAGTATGAGGTTGCTACATACAACGCGCATTCTTCCTGGCACTGTCCAGTCAACTCACACCCACCTCTTCTACACCAGCCATCTGTTGAGATTCAGCGAACTACTAAGAGCCTCGATCGACTGTCCTGCAGCAAGGCTTTCGGCCTTCCAGCTCATCACTGCTGCCGCTGCCGAATTGCTATCTCAAAGGGTAATAGTGAGAACGTGTGTACTGAAGTTCCGTTTACGCTCTATCCATCCTATGCGTCAGGCTGCAGCTACAAATAATTGGCTGTTCTGCCTGGGCTAGATCGGACCGGAGCTGCTGGAGCTTTTATCCCATTATTTTTCAACCTTTAAAGACCCCGCCCCGAATATCGCTAACCTCTTTCATCTTTTATCAACTACAGTGACTGAATTCTACCTTACTACACCACCGAGACAGAAGGAAAAAAAAAAAAAAACTCCCCCACCCAACTTCCCCACGTCACCAAGAAACGAAATTCAAATTTAAGGTTCACGCGGCCAAGACCCGAGATTTAAGCATCTCTTCTAGAAATGCCTACCTCGTATTCGTACAAGGTGCGGGTCCTCGCAGCCTTGGATGCGCATTACACTCCATCACGACCCACTACTCCAATACCACTACGATCTATCGGTATCTTCCTCTACCCCTACTTCCGGTTTGTTTCATCTTAACTGACTAGTTTTGCTGTGATTTCATAGATTCAACATATGAATCTGACTGCAGGGCGAATCGTCTGTTCTTGTTGTCCACTTGGAGGAAGCGCGTCAAAATTGTATTATTATCCTTCGTTTATCAGTTCTTATAGTTATAGAATCTAATCATAACTCGATTTATAGGTACTGGACAAGCTTGTTGCCGAAAACTGGCTTATTGAGAGAAAGGGCAGCTATACACTAACTCCTCGACTGCGTACGGTGATAGCAGACGAAAAGCTCCGCCACAATGTCAACCAGAGGAACCATGAGTGGAGGGTGTTCGCTAGCGTGGCTAAAAGGATGGAAACAGGACCTGCCTCCAACACGGGGAATGCGGCACCATCATCCACTCCAGCAGGAAGAACTCGAACTCGAACAAGTCTTTCTATTGTTGAGATGCGTTCCCCAGCTCAGGCGGGGACACCTGCACTGTCAGGCCAGAACAAAAACTCGATTGGTACAGCTGCGCCAGAAGTTGTTATATTTTCAAGTCCTGCCTCACGAACTAGAAATCGAACTAGCCTTGCGGGTATCGTTGAAGACAATAATGGTGCTCTGGTATCCGCCTTGGATGTTATTACTGTTCGCCCCCAATCTTCAGGCGGCAGAAAGAGCCGTGTGTCAGATCCTGGTCCGCCTCTCTCAAGATCTGGCCCAGCGTCCTCGACCCCCAACACTCGGAAACGGAGACCTTCGGGAGGTTCCGCGGCCCCTGTTCGTGCCACTCCTACGGTTTCTCGTCGCCGAAGCATTGTCCCGACTCGACCTAATCGGCGCCACACCCTTGCTGTTGCTCCTACGCAACGATTTACTTTCCCTGAGACGGCCGTGCCTGTATCCAAACAAATCCAGTTTTACCCGCTGAAACAGACACTGTCCGCTCGCACTCGTCGTGCGCTCCGCCGCAATGCCCTCAGTGAGGAAATGAATGATATCGATGCCGAGAAGCGGGCTGGTCAAAAGAAAAACCGCGAGCTGCTTGCGAAGCTTAGGGCCGAATTGGCTGAGAGCTCTGAGAGACTCAAGGAATTGGAGAGAGAACTTGCGGCAGCTAGGTTTGCACCTTCAGTAGAGCCCGAGGAGTTGGCTCCTATCAATGAGGAACAGGATGATGGAGACTACGATATGGGTTACTCCCGGGTAGATAGTCCGGAAGATCTTGCACCTATTACTCCTTCTAGAAGATCGCCGCCCTCTGTCAACGTTGCGCAGGTTGAGCAGACTCCGTCGTCTCACCGTGACCAAAAAATCAGGGAACTTGAGCTTATGATCGAGGCACTGCGGCAAGATATCGCCCGACGCGCCGAAGAGGAGCGAATTCGAGCCCAAGAAGATGAAGTTTTTCATGATGCCGAAGAACAAATCTTGCACGAGGAAAACCATGCTTTGGCCGAGAGAATCGAAGAACTCACAGCTCTTAGGGGCAAGACTGTTTCCTTTCAAGATGACATAGAAGATACCAACCAGGAAGACGACGAAGAGGAATATATGGGACCCCTCGCGGACGATTTCGATGATGACGTCACGGATATTGAGGAACACCCAAAGCACGCGACTCACAGCTCTTTTGGTGTTGACAGCGGAATTGGAACATCTACTCAACAAACCGTGGAGGTGGGACTCCAAAATGAAAGGATTGCGGAGCTCGAGGATCAAAATAGCCGTCTTCAGAGGGCTATCGACACCTTGAACGGAACGATCCGAGAAATGGAGGAAAACCTAGAGGAGACTCACCTGAGCTTGGCAGAACGCAAAAAGGCCCAGGACAGGTTGAAGAAAGAAAACGAGAAGTTAAAGAGGTTGGAGAAGGAGTTAGAAGAGAAGGTTACCGAATTAGAAGAGATGGAGGGGGAGAGATTGGAAAACGTTGGGCACAAAGTGATACAGACTGATGACGTGGTGGATCAAGAGAAGCTTGAAATGGAGCAGCAGATGGATGATTTGACAGGGCAGGTTGCGGAGTTGCAGGAAATGATTAGGGTGGTCACGGAGGAGAAGAAAGATGCCCACGCCAAAATAGCCACCACCGATGTACAGATTGCAGCTTTGCAATCTGCCGCGGATGCTGCTGAAGTTGCAAAAAGTGAGGCGGAAGCACAAATCCGTGCTCTGACGATCCAAATTTCTGAGCTTGAAGATAGTATCTTAGAGGATAAGAGGGAGATTGAGCACACTGCAGAGATGGCACATGTCCAGATTACAAACCTGCAAGAGGCTAAAGAGTCTAATGAGGCGGCGAAAATCGGTGCTCAAGCTCAGATCCATACACTCACAAATCAAATAAAGGACCTCGGGGCTACCACAACGGAGGAGAGGGAACGTGCCAAGGCTCAAATTGTGGAAATGCAAGAGCTGATTGAGTCTGCTGGAGCCGCACAAGATGAATCTCAAACTCAGATCCAGAGTCTCGAAAATGAGGTTAGAGAGATTCGGGAATTGGCCGAGAAAGAGCAATCAGATGCCAAGTCTCAAATTTCCGCTGCTTATGCGCAGATCGCCGAGCTGGAGGATACTATTGAGTCTAGCCAAGCTTCAATAGCGGAAGCTGAATCCCAGATCCGCGCCCTTGAGCGTAGAATCTCAGATCTCGAGTCTGATGCGTCTACATTCGAGGCAGAAAAAGATGAGCTGCAACAGGAAATCGACATACTAAACCGTCAAGTGGAAAGTTTGCAAGAAGAACTGGAAGAGTTACGGGAGGACAATCAGGAGCTGAAGCAGGAGTTGGAAGGGATTAGGGATGAGAGTAGGAGATTCGAGGAGGTCGCTGAGACTCTGAAGCATGACAAAGCTAGTCTCGAGGAGAACGTGGAAAGTTTAGAGGAGAAAGTACAAGAGTTAGAGACTCTAACGGAGGACTTAACCAAAGCCAAAGCGGCACTCGAAGTTGATTACACCAATCTCAACCTTCAACTCATATCTCAAAAGAATGCGATGGATTTGGCGGAACAAGTTAATGCAAGATTCCAAAAAGATATTGCTGAACTTCGCGCCCAGATCGAAAGCATTGAAAAGGAAGCGGAAACTTCGAGAAGCCAGAAGGAGAGCTTTGAACGAGATATCATCTCGCTTCAGGCTCAGGTTTCATCTCTGGAAAGCGAGCGCAAACTCTCTGGTGACCAAAACCAAGATCTTCAAGGCCAGCTTTATGAATTGTCTACCCAGATCGCCTCTTTCGAACAAGCCATCCAGGAACTTAATGAACGGAAGGATCTGCATGAGAACACAATCGATGATCTACGGGCTCAAATCGAGACACTGCAGCGGGCGGGCAAGGTTGCGGAGCAGGAAAAAGAGTCGCTTGAGCAGGATATCGATGACTTGAAATCTCAACTAGCTGAAGTTACTGAAGAGTTGCTTGCTTCCCGTGCTGAGAATGATCTCTCTAAACAAGATACCGAAAATTGCAAATCAGAGATTTTAAGGCTCAACGAGCTCCTGGGAATCGCTAACAGGGATGGAGATGATCTGCGTCAAGAGGTTAACCAATTGTCAGAGATGGTGGAATCTCTTGAAGGAGCATTCAAGGGCAGTAACGAGAAGAACCGTGGCCTGGAGCACAATATCAAGACACTTCAACTTCAGATAACCAAGTTCGAGCAAGCTTCCGTGATAGCCGACGAAGAGAAATCCATTATCCAGCAGAAGATCCGACCTTACATTCATGGAGAGCAATCACTGGATATGGCGGTCGACGAGGTTCTGACAGAACTTGTCATGGCCAAAAATCGCGCTGACGAGAACGAGAGGCTTAGAACTGAGTTGTCGAACAAAATCAGAATTTTGGCACAGGATGATGAAGAGAGCGACTCGGATTCGATTAACCCCGAGGAGATTGTCGAGAAACTGACCGACCGTTTTAGGGAAGTTCGCCAGAGTGTTGAAGAACTATACCTCCTCTGTGGAAAATCGCAAGAATCTCCATTTGAAGGGCGTAATTTGGAAGAATTTTCAGGTACTGGCTCGAACGGAGATGCACTTACAATGCTAGGATCTTTGGTTGAAGCCTTGTATCAAAAGGTCAACGATGCACAGGACAGGGCCAGCAGATTGAGAGAGGACTACCAGAGGGAGAGGGATCAATCTAGGCTTTACGGAAGCTATCTTGAGGATGTTGCTATGGCCATTGATGGTGAAGGACAGTTACCCGACAAATCCCAAGCCTTGGATCTTGTCACCTTACGTCTTTCTAGTTTGAAGAAACAAATTGAGGATGCTGAAGAAAGGGTTGAGGAATTGAACCAAGCTGTCGTTCGCAAGGACAACACTATTAGGGATATGGAAGCTGATATCGACTCTGCCAAACGAAAGGAAACCGAGCTTAATCAGAAAATTGCTAGTTCTATTGCTGCTCATAACCTCACCACTAGTCGGCTCAGCAATGCTCAAACCGAAATCCATGCGCTTTCCCAGACTATACGAAATAAGGAGAACGACATCGAAAGGCTGCAGGCGACCGCCCAAGAGCAGGCTGATAAAGAACAGGAGCTTCTTGGGACCATCGAACAGCAAACCATCGAACACAGCAAAGCTGTTCGAGAGCTGAAGCACCAGAGAGATGAAGCCGTCAACCAGCTACAGCAAAGGCTGAGCGATGCACTGGAGTCCAAGGCCAAAGTTGAACATCACTTCAGCCAAGCAAAAGAGGAGAACGCGCTTATTGTAAAAACTCTCCAAGATGTCCTTGCTGCGACTCGAGGTGAGCTCGGCGAGACCAAGAAAGAGTTGGATGCAAAGAAAGCTTCGTACCAGCAGACTATCGAGGCACTTGAGGGCAGGGCTGCTCAAAGTAAAGGTGAAATCGTCGAGTTATCCCGAAAGCTTCGTGAGCAAGAAGAAAAGACTAGGCAGGAAATCTTGGTCCTTGAAAGCAAGTTGAAGTCCTCATCGGAGGAAGTCGAACGCCAAGTATCGGCACTACGTCGAGCCGAATCCCAACGTGATAAAGTTGCCAATCAACTCAATTCTGAAATCGAGAGCAACCAGCATGCGATTTCAGTTCTGGAAAAGAAGATGCATAAAATCATAACCGATGCCAAGATTCAGCAGGATGGTGATAGGAAAGCCGTCTCTGGCCTAAATGCTCAGCTAAGGACCGTCGAAAATACCGCGGAAGAGGAAAGAAGGGCTTTACAAGAAAATATTAGCTCACAGATGGACGAGGTCAACCAGCTTACTGGCCGTATCGAGGAGCTTGAAGCACTTCTAGAGGAAGTGGAAGAGTCCGAAAGAAGCTTAGACGAGCAACTTAAGGTCACCGAGAGCCAGTCTCAACTTTTCAAGGAGGAGGCAGACAAGGCCCAGGGAGCGCTCATGGCGGAGAAGAGAGCACTTTTGCAGGAGCTCGCTGAGTTAAAATCCAAGTATGGCTTTGCCGAGGAGAAAATGCGGGGCGATATCACCACTCTCGAAGCCCTTGTTGAAGACAAATCACAGCGCATCTCCGAGCTCGAGAACGTTCTCTCCATCCTCAGGGGTGAAAAGTCTAAACTTATCGATAATATCAACGGCCTCAAAGAAGAGAACACCACGCTTGAAGATATGCTGGACACGGAACGGAAGAAGGGCGCAGAGGCGGTATCAAGCCTGGCGAACGAAGCCGAAAAGTTCATGGCAAGGTTTGGTGATGTCAAGAACCAATGCACAAGGGCAAGCAAACTGCGAGAGGGATTGAGCAACAAGCGCAAGAGAGCTATTGAAGAGCAAGAGGATGAGGAGGGAGGACCTAGTCGCATGCCACCAACCCCGGCATCATCCGTTGTTACCGGAACTGGCGGATTCAAGAAGTTGGAGAGTAAGCGCAGAAGATATGATAGTGGTATTGGAGTTGATGAGGAGGATGAAGAGTTTGAAGGCGTCTCGGCAGTCGGTGTTTGATGTTCTTTCCCTCTAGGTTTATTTCTTTCCACTTTTACCTTTTCCTTTCATAGCATTCTTATTTTTAACGTTCTTCTTTGTCTTTGATTCCCTCTCGGGAAAAGTTGGGAGCGTGAGGGATTTTTGGTGATAATGAAGTTATGAATTCGCGAGCCCTATGGTTACCTTTCTCTTGTCTTTATTTACATGTTTCTGCGTTAATTAGGTTTTGGGGGGATACCGCGCTTGATTTTGGGTTTCTTTACATTCCCCTGTTTGTGTGTGGCCCTTGATTGGTTCTGTGGGATTGAATTTTTTTTTCTTATTTCTACTTATTGGCACGTGTATACACGTTTGGTACTTATGGGAAACGTTTCTTGATTGATGTTTTGGTAAACGTGGGAATGGTTTGAAATTTCTCTATTCGCGATCACTGCGCGACGTTCTTTTCTTTTCTTTTCTTCTTTTTTTTATATCTTATTTGGTTTCATACTACTGGAGGGTATTTATGTTGAAAGCCTGGAGGTAACTTACTACTTTACGTTTAACGTTGAGCAATTGGAAATGAAAAAGAGATGTACTACGTATATATGTAACTCTCTAGCCCTGGGTGGCTGGTCTTAGGAATTTTTTCACGATTTAGGTTTGTCATAATCATGATTTCAAGTACATGTATGTGTGTTCTCAAGTCTTTTCTACTTTCTCTATAAACAATAGATTATAAACTGAGTGTCAAAATCTGGTTTATAATACAATTCATCCTGTGATTTATTTCTTGTGTTCCGTAGACAAGGGAATTCTTTACATCGTTTGGGACCGCACTGTGTAATTCTATACTAGCGATATTTAACCTAGGACGCGCCTACATGTATTTTCCCTTACATGGGCCGCACTGCTGCCCTTTATGCTGTGGTGGGCCCCGTACTACCTGAGTCCATAGCAGGAGGAGTAGTAGAAGCGTGGCGGACAAGAACCTTCCGCTCCTCGCCTTTAACCACTAGATTACATCAAGTTCAACGTCAATGTGCTTCTCATTCTGTGTTGACGCAATGCAAATAAAAAGAAGGGCTCTTACCCGGGGAGGGTTAGGTACATACGTCGATTCCACAACACCCAACTGGTAACAATCGCAATTGGCAGCGCAATGATCATTACCCTCACTCTACACCCACCCGAAACCAACCATCAGCTAATCAGCTCTCAATCCATCATCCCCCTCCCCCCCCAAAGGAAGAGTTTTTACCTTCGCTCGGCCGGCTTGTATTTACTCGGCAGCTCCCCCGGCGACAGCGGGCGCGGGATGCCGTCTGGGAACTGCGGGTATCTGGAGTTCTGGGGCGCCGGCGAGGCGGCGGGTACCTTGCGCCGCGGGAGATCGTCGAAGTTTGCCATTGTGCGTGTGGCCCGGAAAGGGGGGGGGGGTGTTGTGAGGCTGAGAATTAAAGTTTTAGATAAGTAGGGCCCAGGGGGAAGGGATTGTGGAGCGGAGGGGGTTACCCGGATTGGTTTGTGGGCGGGGTGGAGATGGTGGATGTGCGGTGCGGGGATGGGGGGGTCATGGGTGGTCACTCGGTGGGGTGGTTGACTAATTCGTGAGAGGTGGCTTGATATTTGGGGAGACTAAGTACATATAGGTAATCTAGGTAATCCCGCCACCACCAGTGTCAATTACATACATAGAGATACGAAAGGGCTTGCTGTCGACTATCCGAATATGGGGCAATATTACGCCTTTTTAGTGGAATAATCAACGAACCGGCTGACTTGTAATTGGCGCCTCAAACAAGCCTTGATAACCCGGCGTGTAGGAAAATTTTCAGACGAATTTCAGCCTTTTCTACCACCATATGGCCTTGTTTGATGGTCATTAGGGTGTTTTTTTGGGGGGGCGTTGTTGGCTCAGGAACTTGGCCTCATTTCTGGAATTTACATACGGATAAATAACTGCTGCATACACACCGTTATCATCTGAATCAGGACCCCCCTTCATCAAGTGGGCTCTCCCTAGGTGCCGTGGATTCGTGAAGAAACATGGCTAGCTGAATATCATCGACTAGATGAAGTCTACAATTCGCCTACAGGCGGTACTGAACTATGGGGGCGGAAGTTAGTACTCTTCCTGGGGGAAATGATGATTCCCGACTACTAGCATTGCAAGGGGCAGGGGTTTCTCGTCGCAAATATGGTGTCGAGATTTCGGGAAATCCTCAATTGTTTTGTCCGAGGGACCCAGGCACCGGTGGAAGTGCTAGGCACAGTGGTATCCGGGGTTGTGCAATGTGTATGTCCGGCAATAAAGGCTTTTCAGACATTGTTGTTATTGCTTTTTCGCTTTCGCCACAAAGTTGGATAACTATCCTGAGATGCAGACATGCAAAAAAAAAAGAAAAAAGAAGACGCTCTCTCGAGTAGCTGTCCCTATGACGTACATACATACGGGTTTCATACCTATTATCATCCATCCACCTGTCAAAAAAACAAACCTGGTAGTGAAGTTATGGGGGCCCCTGACGTCGATTCCAGGGTATGGAAGAAGTAGCGGAGGAGGGAAATAGACTCGAAATACTGCCAGGAAGAGTTACTATTTACTAAATTGGTACACTTCTACTATTAACCTACTAATATTCGCGCTATCTACATAGTACTAAAGACTGTTTAATAAACTGCCACTGACTGGATTAGGATAGGATGAGTTGTATCGCCCTCGGGGATTTGGCCCCTCTGGGTTCCTGGCGAAAAAGAAAGGCGCCTGCCCCTGGACCTTTCCCGGCTCGAACACCCCCCCCCCAACATCTTTTCCCCACTAACCACTAACAACCACCAGATCTGAGTGCTCCCTCGACCTCTGATATTGTTTTCGCTATTCTCGAGTCAGTCCCTGGGCCGCCCAGAACCAAATAAACACGGAAATCGTCACATATAGATCTACCGCAGCAGCATACCGTAATTTCAACTTCAGCACTCGTTGCATCCCTATCATCGCCAGCCTAGCCCGCACCCAGAGCTCCCCCCCCCCCCGGGTCCCCATGGCCAACCCGCAGCCCCCCTCAACCGCCAACACCCCCCGCTCCTCTACCCCCACTACCGCCCAGCAACCCCAAACCTCCCAGAACTTCTCCTCCCTCGTGTCCACAATCCTCAAGACCAGCGGCCGCGAGCCCCCCCCACTCGTCGGCTCCTCCACCACTGTCATCGGTGACACCCTCTACGCCTTCGGCGGCCGCCTCCTCTCGCGCACAACCCCGCAGCTAACATGCCACATGTACGCGCTCGACCTCATCACGCGCGTCTGGGTCCGCCTTGACACAAAGGGCGACATCCCGCGCCCGCGCTACTTCCACAGCATGTGCGCGCTTGGCGACACGAAGCTCGTGTGCTTCGGCGGCATGTCCCCGGCCACCAGCCAGACGGGTGGCCCCGGCGGTATGGGGATGGCTATGAATGCGCCCGGCGGTGGAGGCGGGGCATCGGTGTCGGCAGGCCCCGACAGCCAGAATGAGGTTATGGTCATGAGTGATATACACATCTTTGATATCCAGACCAATACGTGGACGTTCATACCGGCGCAGGACCCGCCGGAAGGGAGATATGCGCATTGCGCGACGGTGCTGCCGACGTGCGCGACGTTTACGAGTGCGAATAGTGTTGCGGCGCCGGTGGTGGGTGGGCTGGGGCTGGATAGTGTCGGGGGTGCGGAGATGGTCGTTGTGGGCGGTCAGGACTCGGCGAATCACTATATCGAGGAAATTAATGTATTCAATTTGAGGTCGCTGAAGTGGACGTCGACGAGGGCGCTGGATAGGTCTTGTGGAGCTTACAGATCGGTCGTGGCGCCGTTGGGCAGAGGGTTGACGTCGTCAATGATCGGTGCGAAGGGAATCGAGAAGGGAAACGATAAGGGAATCGAGAAGCCCAGCTCCAATGGTACATATGCGGATAACGATCCAGTCGTTCCCGGTGCGCCTCCGGTGCCAACGGAGACGAATGCAATGCTCATCTACTCAAACTACAATTTCTTGGACGTGAAGTTGGAGCTTCAGATACGATTGCCGGATGGGAGTTTGACGGAGAAGCCCATGAACGGGCAGTACTCACCCCCGGGTCTGCGCTTTCCCAATGGTGGAGTCTTGGACGATCACTTTGTTGTGAGCGGCACCTACCTGACCAGTAGCAAGCAAGAGTACGCCCTATGGGCATTGAATCTCAAAACACTTATATGGTCCCGCATTGATGCGGGTCAGGTCTTTGCACAAGGCTCATGGAATCGCGGCATTCTGTGGAGCAAGAGAAATTCATTTCTAATTCTGGGCAACAAGAGCCGGTCTCTTGTTGAAGACTACAATCACCGCCGGATCAACTTTACCCATGTCTGCGTGGTTGAGCTGGAGGCATTCGGACTCTACGAAAACCCCAGAATGCATTCCCACCCTGCCCTCCAGCGTGCATTCTCTCCCGAGGCCCAGGAACTTGGCCGTCTTGTCTTTAGTATGCGTGAGATGGCTGATATGGATTTCCTGTCCATGAGCGGTGAGCGGATACCCGTCAACTCCCGCATCATTTCACGCCGTTGGGGTCCATACTTCCTTGAGCTACTGAACGCATCCAACAAAGAGCTACCGCCGTCTCCTGGGGGCCAAAGCAGGGTGCATATGTCGTTGTCCATCAACCAGCAGCATCCCATGGGCAAAGACTTGCAGCTCCAACCCCCCAGCACAACACAGTTCAATCCGCTGGACCGCCCAAGGATCCTCTACCTCCCTCATACGCAGCAGACTTTGTTGGCGCTCGTGCACTTCCTTTACACGTCCACTCTCCCGTCATCGGCCCACCCGCAGAGTAGCCCCCAGGTTCTAGCCTCGCTCCTCCAGATCGCGCGGCCGTACCGTGTTGAGGGTCTTCTCGAAGCGGTTGTTGAACGGTTACACCAGGCTCTCGACGGTAAGAACGCTGCGGCCGTGTTTAATGCCGCGGCGATGGCCGCCGGTGGTGGTGCGGCGATCTATGGGGGTCTGGCAGCACCAAGGAGGAATCTGGACGGGTTTGTGGGGGCTGAGGCTATCGAGAATGCAGAGGCATGGAGAGGCGGGGTTAGTAGTGTCATTGGGTTGCAGAAGAGGGGGTTGCGCGGCTTGATGGAGGGCCGTAGGATAAGGGAGAGGGCGAGAAGCATGGGTGGCGGAAGAGCGTCGGAGGGTGCGGCGATGGCCCAGGGGATCGGGGCGAACTAAGACTTATTTTTGTTTCCGTTTTCCGTTTCCCTTTGTTTCCCTTTGTTTCCTTTTTTTCTTGAAAATTTTGTTTAATTGAGCGAAGCGTAAGTATTGGAGTGGTATGTCGCGATAGTACCCGGTGGACTGCTTTTCATTTTTTTGTCATCTTTTCCTCATATATCTTGTTTTTTTTGTGTTCTTTTGCGCTTTGACTATTGGGACTGAATTTGTCTGTATTTTTCCTTTTCTTTATTGGATGACCGCAAGAATGGGATGGATGGGGATATTCTTTTTTCCTAGGACATTAGTGGTGATATTCTTTCGTATCAATTGGCAAACCTTTACATTTAGTGCTGATAACATCCTCCTCGTCTATGGCCTCTGCTTTGCTGTGTTTTTTCGTGCTTGTGCAGAGAGAGAGAGTCTCTGCATGCTTGGAAGACTCACATCGGTATCGGGAAGCTCGGTCGCGCGCGGTCTGAGCCCGGTCCGTGAGTAGAGCAGACCAAGAGGATCATCGATCAATGTGCTATCCCACTCTACATACTCTACAGCGAGAGGGAAAATTATTGTAGAAACAGGGGTCTAAAAACAGGGTTTCTATGGCTGGGCAAGCCAATAGGACTCTTCCCATACTTCTACAATAATTTTACCTCACGCTGTACAAGATACGGTACTCAATCCACGTAATAGACCGTGTGCACCTGTGCCGAGAATGTACCTGTGCCGAGCATCTTATCTGATCTCTAGGGATCCGCTCCAAATGGTGGCTAAAATGCTGCCTTTATTATAAGGTGCTCGGCACAGGTGCACACGGTCTAGATACTCGACTAAATTTCTTTTGCGGCGAATACATAAGTCTGCAAGCCAATGATATCTGACGTGAAGGCTCCGGCGAATCGCCAAATTTATCCCTGACTCCACTAAAAGGGCCTAGATAACGTGTTGTAGTGGCCACGCTAGACTCGGGACGGACCGCCCAAGTGCGACCTCCGCTACTTGCAGTTTTGGGTTGCACATTGCATGTCCTCTGGTTGTGAAGCTGGCGTTCGTGTAAAAAGTATAAAAAGTATTGTAGATTTACGAGTTTTATCTCCAACTGGATTGAGCCCAAGATTTCTAAAGCGAAGGAATAACCCTACTGTGTTTCAGCTGACGACCTCTCCGGTTAACCGCTAGACAACTCGCCCACTGTTTTACCTGGCTGGAAATGATATTTAGACGCCAAGACACGCAGGAGGCGCCTAGCCCTTTTGGGCGCCTGTGTTATGTGATCCGTCACTCTTGCGAATAGACGCCCAGTCACAGTCCATCACTCGAAGGAAATAAAGCACGTGACAGGCCGAAGTGGATTTAAACAGCAATGAGGGGGAGCGGTGAGAGCAAAAGCAGTACGTCTCGCGATGGCGAGTGACCACTTCGGTATATGAAGTTTGGAGTTCTGTCGAAGAGAGTCTCGGGCCACAGACATACATTGTGCCTGTAAGAATGACGTCTCATCCTGGTCTTTTAGGCTTTTTCGCTTAAGGATCCACAGTTAATTGTGCATAAACCTCGTGTCTATCCTGGTTAGTCAAGGTGCACGTTAAAGGCTTTCATAGGTGATTTACAAATAGTCACTTATGTACTTACATACACAACTGCAGTCACCGATATATGATTGCTCCGCAGATAGTATCCTTGTTTCTTTCACAATCAAAAAGACTGCAAGGTCATGCGGGGAGACTTCTGTTTCAGACTCAAGCTTTTCCAGGTTCAACCTAAATTGACCGCCCATTTTGATGTTTTCTAATCGGCCCACAGGAAACGGGGTCACTATCAACTTTATAAAAGCTGTGTTTGTGCCCTCGATCCTACCGTCAAAATGTTCCGTCAAATAACCGTGCCTCGGCCTGTAAAAGACTCAGTCACCAAAAGCCGCATTCCACCGGACGCTCTCGTCCAATTCGTCTACAAAATACAATGGCAATTGTAGAAACCCTCATCTATACAGTGGGTTCTATTGCAGGGGCCGGATTCTGGAAATATGGCATACTTGCTGTAATGCCCTTCCTCTGGTTCTGGCTTAACCTTCGATACGGCCTCGGAGACTTCGATATCCCCACAATTGGCGTTCCACCAGGACTCCTAGGCCCCTGGATAGCTCCCTACAACTGGATGAAGAACTCCCCGCACCTGATCCGCGAGGGTATGGCCAAGTACGGAGCTCGAGGTCTACCCTTCAAGATCCGCTCCCCTAGTCGCTGGATGGTTTTTGTGAACAAACCCACCATTATTGACGAACTTATTCGGCTTCCTAAAAATGTTGTTTCGTCCAGCGCGGCGCTGGATGATATCTTTTTCACGCAGTTCACCATGTACAAGGACGCCGCGTCGGACCCGCCGTTCGCAGAGATTGTGTTGAAGCAGCTGTCTGGGAGATGTTGGGAGTTTATGCCGCTGGCTGTGGAGGAGGTCAAGATGGCGTGGGATGAGAAGACGAAGATTGGGGAGGAGTGGACTGACGTACCTGTATGGGAGGTTTTCATACAGCTTGCTGCGAGAGCGGTTATTCGGTCCATCATTGGAGCGCCGCTCTGTCGCAACCAGGAGCTGCTGGATAATATCATAGCATATGCTGAGGGAGTTATCATGCACAGTGAGCTACTGGAGATAATCCCGGCAACTCTGAGGCCTTTCGTCAATAAGTTTATATTCCGGAATAAGCCCTTGGACGTGTGCATGTCCTATTTCGGCCCCATCTTCCAGGAGCGCCGAAACATCATGAAAGACGGGAAATACAGCGGGAATGTTAAGCCCGATGATGGATTCCAGTGGGTCATTGATACATGCCCTCCCGATACCACCATCGAGAGGATGGTGAAGAAGCTCCTCTTCATCTTCACCGCCGGAATCCATACCACCGCCGTCGCAGGCACGCACTGTGTCCACGACATTGCCGCAATACCGCACTTCCAAGGCCCTGCTCGGGAAGAGATCGCACAGGAGCTTGGTGCTGCGTCTACAGTGAAGGAGACCAAAGAGGCCTGGGCGCCAATGCGCAAGCTAGATAGTGTCCTTCGTGAGAGCGCGAGGATGAACAGAACGCATCTGGGCACAGTCATGCGGAAGTTCATGGTTCCATATACGTTTTCTGACGGGATGGAGATACCGAAAGGTGCTTGGGTTGTGGGTGCGTCGTCGACGATACATCGGACGAATATTTACGAGGACCCGGATACGTTTGATGGGTTCAGGTTCTCGAGGATGAGGGAGGAGGCGGGATAGGTGATAGGTTTCAGCTGACGGGAACGTCGAGGGAGTTTTTGGCATGGGGGGGTGGGGCGCATGCGTGCCCGGGCAGGTTTTATGCGGCGATGCTGTTGAAGGTTATATTTGCATAGCTTTTACTGAGTTGTGAGTGTAAGTTGAAGTACGGGTCGGGGAGAAGGCCGGATAATATGCATTTTGGAATATCGAGGCTGCTGCTGCTGTAGTATTTAGGAGATGCGAGGGTGGTCCGGGTGGTGGCGTTAGAAGTTAAAGGTTGAAGATGATATTTGTTCAGTTGAGTTTGTTTTTGGTAATCGATTAGTGACTAATTAAGGGATATGCCTGTTAAAAATATCTCTGCGGTTAATTCAATCACATACACCTTTTACTATTTGTAGCAGAATATCTATGTACTTATGCTTCCCTGTGACAGGAAAGCCCTATTTACTGCCACACCCCGAAACTAGCTTAAAAACTAAGTGCTATGCCTATTCACCTCAGGGGTCTGTCGGCGTTACCAAGATACCTGCTTCTACAGGGTATAAGTGCATTATATAGCAGTTCTGAGCTATGAAATCGATACTCAGACTATAGGGTACAAGAAACTTAAGTATCTTACAGCCGTACATGCTTGTAAATTAACTTAGAAGTAGAGAAATGTCAAACTATGAGTGAGTATCTATAATGAAATGATAGATTGATAGTATTGATAGTGGCGGCCTGCAGTCCGGAGCGGTTTTTGATTCGGAGGGCCAGGCTTGGCACGAGTAGCATAACGAATGATAATTCATGACTGCGGTGCTTGGCAATTTTTTTTATTTAATACATTAATAGCAGGCACTGGGACTGCCAGGAGCGCGGTCTGGCTGCAGTCAACTACTCGTAGCTTCATAGCGTTTCCGAACACGACCAATATTGCATGACATACAAAAAGGTGGATTTGACGTTTTTTTTGTATGGCATGCAATAGCAATCTTGTTCGGAAACGTCATGAAATTGGTAGTACAGGCGACGGGTCAAGGGACGGAAGTCTGGCTTGACATTTTGGACTGCATAAGGACTGCATGAGGACTACATGAACAGCTATTTCCTAGCCAAGCCAGTCCGTCCAGCAGAACAAGCGACCAATGGACTGTGGACGCAAGAACTTCAACTTCAACTTGGCAGAGAGTAAAATAGCGAATTACCAACTCATTCATATTTTCTTTGTAAATAAATTCACAATAAATAATCATATATTCTAATCATTTTGAAACAATATGTTATGGGCATGCCAAGTATTGACGGAAGGCTACGAGAGAGTAGGAAGACACCAGTAGACACTCTCAATACCCCTTTTCTTTAATGAAAGCTACTCTACCAACTACCATCGACTTCTACTCGGCCAGTCGGGGCCGGTGCGAGCAGTATGTGACCGGCACCGGAGTTGCTGGTTCCTTAGTTAAAAAACACGTTTCTGACCCCAAATATAAACTCTGGAGCGTTAAACCGCCAGAACAGTCCCCTTTTACACTGCAGGACCTATGAGGGGCAAAAGAAGAAATTGATTGAGGTTCAAACTGTAACGGGGGTGCTACAATGGGGCACGACCGTGCCTTCGATCAGGTAGATAGATAGAAAGAGCGAACGAGTTATGATGAGACTCGTTCGATAAGGAAGATGGAGTTAGTTTTGTTTGATCACTTTCAAGTCTAGGAACTTAATAACTTTAAGGGGTCTTCTCACTCGTAAAGATCCGCTAATTATGAGGGGCCAACCTGTGGCAACACGGAGTTCTTTTATAGAAATCTGGCGCCCTTGTCCAGGTTCTTTGTTCTGGCTGCCAATGGCAGCCTGCCTGTCAATAGTCGGAGGCACAGCGACTATTTCCTATGAGGGGAAAGAAGAGGTGCTACCATGCTTCGGATGACATCAGCAAACTAGCATCCACCTCCGGGGGATTGTCCCTTTCTCCAGAGGTTGATGACAATATCACGGGGACTATAGGCGATGGACTATGATGACAAGGAATACAACCGAAGCGATGACGTGGTATGTAGGTATTCGGAACTATAGACTATGAGGTGGTTCAACCTGATCAGGAATCAAGATGAGCCCTGTAAAGGGACGTAGAACAAGATTATCTTCGTGGGATAAGGTACAAAGGTTGCGTGAGGACAAAAGGAAAGGAAAGGAAACAAGAACTGACGCGAGACAACACCCCTTTATATATCCAAAACCCTTGTCCGATGATGACTCATACCTCCACATAACAGAAACTGAAATAACACAATAGAAACCCCCATTACAAATCCTGATCCCCTGCGCAATACCTCCTCTTCCTATTCCAATGTATTGCCTAGCCGAACTACATCGCTGCCGTTACAGACAAGACAACTAGTCTCCGAGTCCCTACCCCTCAGGCTCTCATGTCTCCTCACTACCTCGTCTAATCCGTTGAGCCTCTGGAGTAACCTGACACTCTCTGGAGAACTCTCTGCCTGAATTTTTTCTCTTGAGTCTCTCCCACTTCCTCCTTTATCAGGCTTCATCAGCAAGCTAGCATCCGCCTCCGGGGGATTATCCCTTTCACCAGAGGTTGACACCAAGACAACTAGTCTCCCTATCCCTCCCATGTTTCCTCACCACTTCGCCTAATCCGTTGAGCCTCCGGAGTAACCTGGCACTCTCTGGAGAACTCTCTGCCTCAATTTCTTCTCTTGAGTCTCTCCCGCTTCCTCTTTAATCAGGCCTCTCGAGCCTTCTAAAAGGCTTCCTAGACATTTCAGCGGGTCTCTCGAGCTTCTCACAACCCCCCCCAGCCACTCGATACTCTTAGACCACTCCCCAACAGGCTCTGCGAGCCTCCCAAAAAGCCTCTTGAGCCCCCTCAACCTCTCTCAAGGCCCCGACTCGTCTTGTAAGTCTATAGGCTTCTCGAGCCCCCCAAACGCTCTTCAAGCCCCACCTAGCCACTCTCTAGGTGCCTCACGCGCCCCTTAAACCACCCAAAATCTACTCCAAACAGACCCCTCGAGCCTTCCAAAAAGCCCCTCGCGCCCTTCCTGATCTCTCAAGCCGCCCGACTGGTTACAAAACCTAACACCTAATACTTTTACTTGAGCCTTTACCAGCCCTTGGATTTTTTATTTGTTGAATCTTATATTGCACATGTATATACATATCGTTTAAGTGAACCAGTCTTCAGAAGCATTTGCTTATGCTCCTTAAGCCCTCATTAACCTTATATATGGAATTCGTTCCAAGTTCTTGAATCTACTCTAGTGTTTACCAGCCATTGTCCCTGCCCCAATTCGAACAAATGTGCAATTACAAAAACGCTACGAGTATTAATTATCCAAAATCTTTGCCGGAACTTGAAGCGCCTCGCGACTCTTAGAAGTACATGCAAGCCTTCAGGAAGGCTCCTGTCCCTTGCCTCCAGCAGCTCAACCAAGCAAAGTTGATATGTCTTTCTAGTAAAGATATCACGTAGTCTGAATATTGCCTTTAGGTGCCCTGGTAAACGTCCCTGGAATGCTCCCCAAGGGTCCGTAGTAGCTACCTGTAATAGGGACAGTCTTTCCACGTATCGCTAGAATCCGATAGAAAGATGTGGCCGTGCAAGATAGAAATCAGGTTTAGATTATTCCCAAAGATTTATCGCTAATAACTCAATAATCTTTAAGGGCTCTGGTACTGAGTAGAATATACTTGATAGTTCTCATGAAGACTGGAGCAAAACGGATAGTTGGGCGGGAAGGCTCCTGAGTACTTATACTCCAAAGGATTCCATTCCGCTGCTCCTACTTCCTTACTAAGTTCCAGTGATGCCCTCTAGCGGAAGGGAAGCAATACCACCGCTCTCCCGCTTCTCTCTAAGCGTTAGCGGGTGCTTCCTGTAACGGAGCCATTTCAACTGTCTGGTGTATGAGTACACACAGGGCCCGGTTACATGCTGAGAGTTATTGTTAGAAGCCAGTTGCACAGTGACATGCAAGTACCGGCAGTGTGGTTAGCTACCAACTGTCAGAGTAACTACATTCTGAGCGCTAGGAAGAGGATCTACTCATGGGAGCAATGACTGACGAGTCTGCGCCTCGCCAATGATTAGAAGGCTAGCCAGAGTGAAGCTCTGAGTGCTCAGCGATCCTCCACATCCTCTGAGCATTGGAAGTCCGCCAGTAGTGGAAGAGACTATGCCTGGGAAGTCTACAATAAGCGGAAGCTCTACAGCAATGATTAAGCTTACACCTGAGCGGCAGCTCATTCATGCAGGCCCCTAGTTGTGTGGCAACAAAGGCTGCAGGTGTTACAAAGGCTTTGACTAAGGGTGGTTGCCTTCGGAATCGGAAGCACTCGCTGACGCTTAGAGAGAAGCGGGGTAGCGATGGTATTGCTTCCCTTCCACTAGGAGGCAGCACCGGAACTTAGTAAGGAAGTAGGAGCAGAGAATAGAATCCTTTGGAGTATAAGTACTCAGGATCATTCCCGCCCAACTGACCTGATCCTCATCTTCGAGTAGACCATTATCGGTAGCAGAGCCCTTAAAGATTATTGAGTTCTAGCGATAGTATCTTTGAATAAATCTGCACCTGATTTCTATCTTGCACGGCCGCATCTGTTCTATTGGATTCTAGCGATACATAGATAGGCTGCCCCCGTTACAGATAATCTTTAGTGCTCAAATCACCTTCAGATTATTCTTTCCTCTCACAACATGTCCGCCCTCCCGGCTCCCCAAGCGCCTCTTCAGATTGAATGGCAACCGGCAGCTTTAGAATTCCAAGAGGGACAGACACAGTTGATCCACAAGCCCAGGACGGCGCTCCAGTCCTACATCCCCGGATGTGAGCCCACCTGGCAAGATACCGACGAAGTCACCCTACAGGACTTCTTTGCGGAATTGCAGCGCTACCTGATGCACAGCCTGCAACAGGAAGTCATCAAGGCCGGCAATGCGCTAGCCTTGGTGCAAGAAAGACAAGAAGCTGAGGCAGTCCTGCTCCGGAACGCCTTCGGCTATATGCAAGAACAAGTCTCCTCAGTCCAGGCACAACTCCAGAGTTATGCTCAGAGAGATGACTTAGGAGCGGATGAGATGGAGGACATTGAATGGACAAACCCGGCGATGCCCCCTAACTTCCTGGAAGACATCCAGAGAGCCATTAATGAAGGAAGGCTCTCCATCGCCAGGATGCCTACACCAGCACCTGTCCCCAATCCCGCACCTCTGCAAAACTCCAGGGCCTCATCCAGAGCGGCCCTGAGAACCTTCCTGTAACGGGGGTCTATGGACGTAGGGACTATGATGCCAAGGAATACAACCGAGGCGAAGACGTAGCAATAGGTATTCGAGACTGTGGACTATGGAGTGGCTCTGCCTAGTATGACTAACTAGTTAAGCCCTATGACGAGGTGTAAAACAAAAGTAGTATTCGTGGAGTAAATACAAGAAGTTCCGTGAAGAGAAAAGGAAAGGAAGAGAAACATGAAAAGACACAAGACAACGCCCCTTTATATATCCAGCTCCTAGTCCGTTGATGACTAATACCTCGCGTAACGGAAACCGAAAGAACATAACAGAAACCTCATTACCAATCCTCATTCATTTGCGCAACCGCTCCTCCACACGATCCAATCTATCGTCTTAGTCGAGATACAATATTGCCGTTACAGACCACGCTCCCCTCTAAGGCCTACCTCCTGGTAGGCTTAGACTTCCGTGGATAGCGTTCATGGAATCGTTGAACAATATCAGGTGAATGCTCGAGGTCCGACAGCGGTTGCCACGAGGCATCGTCGTATCCTTTGTATTGTACCAAGTATTCAAATTTCCCCCTTCGCTTCCTAGAATCCAAAATATCCTCGACTTCCCATTCTTCTTCTCCTTCTATCTCAACCGGAGGTGGTGGTGATTGCTTCTGTCCAGGTAACGGGTTACCTGCTTCAGGTGACAATAGCGAAACATGAAATACTGGATGGATATTCATAGAACGGGGAAGTTCTAGTTCGTAAGCATAGGAATTGACGATTCGTTTAATACTGTAGGGGCCAATCCGTTTCCAGTCGAGTTTCTTGGAGGGTCGTTTTGTCAAAACATGGCGCGTCGATAAGAAAACTTTATCTCCGATACGATAACGAGGGGCGGGAGAACGATTTAGATTGGCTGATTCCTCTTGTACCTTTTGTGACCGAAACATTTCGCTCTTCAGGAATTCCACCATATCCTTCATTTCTTTTGCAATGCTATTGGCCTGATCTTCCGCTGTCGTTTTGCCATGTTCCAAGGAGCCAAAAGTCATCCGTGGATTTCTTCCCGAATTGGCATAGAAAGGGGAGACCTTTGTTGTTTCCGACACATGATTATTTGCTGCGAACTCAGCCATTGCCAATAGTCGGACCCAATCATCTTGTTGATAAGAAACATAAGTTCGAAGATACTGTTCCATTACGGCATTGATCCTTTCAGTTTGCCCATCGGTCTGAGGGTGGAAAGCAGTGGAGAATCGTGGGGATATTTCCAGGCGTTTGCAAAGTGACTTCCAAAATTCCGCAACAAATTGTGTTCCTCTGTCTGACACGATAGTATCAGGTAGTCCATGTAGCTTCCACACATTATCGATATACAGTCTCGCTACTTCCTTCGAATCCACCTCTTTAGTCGTTGGTATCAGATGTCGCATTTTAGTTAGTCTATCAACAACAACTAGGATCGCAGTATATCCATCACTCTCAGGGAGGTCAGTAACAAAATCCATCGAAACATCTGTCCATGGTCCATCGGGTATCGGCATTGGGCGAAGTACTCCATAAGGCGCATTGCGTGGTGCCTTGCTACGGGTACACACATTGCAGTTCCTCACATATCGATCGACATACTTTCGCATTTGTGGCCAATAATACTCCCGACTTAAGAGTTCCAATGTCTTTGCTCTACCCGGATGGCCTGCTGATGGTTTATCATGATATTCTTGTAGGAGCCTCAGCCGGAGGTCGTTATCATTTGGGACATAGAGTGCGCCTCGATAAAGTAGCCGACCGTTATTATCTTCCGTACATTCGGCAAGTGAGATTTCATTAGAATGGCGAACGTCGCTCCGAAGCATCGCGAGGATTTTGTTTGGGAAACTATCAACTTGGTAAGCTTTTGAAAATAACTCCTCCACAGTGGACATTCCTTCAGCGGATTCATTTGATAAAGAACCCGCGAACAAACTTAGCTTTGCATCCAAATTTTTTCTCTTCAGAACCACTTGGCTCTGATGCGTCAACCGTTCATCCCCTTCTTTAGGTAGGTCACCTGACCTTCTAGTTAATGCATCCGGTTTTGCTCCTTGTTTTCCCGGTCGAAATTGTATGACGAAATCAAAACGTGAAAGAAATTCAGACCAACGAGCTTGTCGGCGATTTAACAATTTTGTCGTCATGAAATATTCCAGATTTCGGTGATCACTAAGAACCTCAATAGGGAATTGTGCTCCCTCCAGATGATGTCGCCATTCTTCAAAACATCGCACAATCGCTAGAAGTTCCTTATCGTAGATTTCATAGTTACATTCCGCAGGGGAATGTTTCTTGGAAAAGAAAGCCACCGGATGTAAAACTCCCTCATCATCACGTTGTGATAGGATTCCTGCTGAAACATAGTCGGATGCATCGGTTTCCACCACAATTTTTCGATCTGGGTCGAAATGAACTAGTATAGGTGCTGTTGTGAACATCTTCTTTAGGGTTTGAAATGCTTCCTCCCTTTCATCCGTCCATTCGAATTTAACATTTTTCTTTGTTAGGGCTGTAAGCGGGGCGACAATCTTCGAATATCCCAAAATAAACCGTCGATAAAAATTTGCAAACCCCAAAAATACTTGAACATCATGAAGGTTTGTCGGTGTCGACCATTCTAGAACATCAATAACTTTCTTTGGATCCATTCTGTTGCCGTTTGGGGTGAGGATTAGGCCGAGATACTTCGTTTCTTGAACCATAAATTCGCATTTTTCGGGTTTGAGATGGACATGGTTTTCATTGAGTATCTTTAGAACTTTTTGAATGTGATCTTTATGCTCTGCAAGTGTTTCGGAATAGATGAGAATATCATCTAGATAGGCCGTCACAAATTGGTCTAGATAGGGGCGTAAGATATCATTGATCCAATGTTGGAAAGTAGCCGGAGCATTCGCTAGTCCAAAAGGCATTACCGTATATTCAAAGTGTCCATATCGAGTTCGGAACGCCGTTTTCCATTCATCTCCTTCCGCTATCCTGATCTGGTTATATCCCCAACGTAAATCCAACTTAGTATAATATTTTGCTTTCGACAGTTTGGCTAAGGTTTCCTTCAGTAACGGTAATGGATAACGATTCTTAATCGTAATTGCGTTGAGGCCTCGATAGTCAACACATAGACGAAGAGTCCCATCGGCTTTTTTGACAAATAGTATAGGCGCTCCTGCTGGCGACTCACTATGGCGGATAATTCCCTTAGGTAGGTTCTCCTGAAGGTAATCCCAGAGTGCCTTCAACTCCACTTGAGATAGGGCATATATTGGTCCCCATGGTGGTTGCTTGCCTTCTTCCAATATTATCTTCATATCATGGAATGGTCGATGTGGCGGAAGTGTTGAAGCGTCATATTCTTCGAACATGTGGATATAACGGTGGAACTCCTTCGGTATCAGTCGTTTAATATCGATGGTAGTTTTTTCGATTGTTGAGACGGTAACGGTATGAGTTTCAGGTAGGGGAATTGATATACCATGAACTGTAATTGCAGTTCCACTAAGCGAACAATGTTGACAGCAGCTTTGGGAGTCGAAAATAAGTAAATTTTCCTTTGGTCGAATTGTAACATCATGGCGTCGCATCCAAGGTATCCCCATCACGATCGGATAGTGTCCCAACTTTGTCACGAAACATGATGCAGTTTCTCGATGGCCATGAATATCTAGCGAGACATCGATAATATGAGTAATTTTTCCTGATTTGATAGGTCTGCCGTCTATAACGTCTACGTGGCGTGGTATTTTAAGTGGGTCATGGTGAGATTGTTGTGGCGTGCAAAAGATTCATCGATGAAAGCATATCCTGAGGCTCCGGTATCAATAAGGGCGTAGGTGGGTACGAAAGTATTTTTATTCTGTGAAATCGAACAAGTTACTACAAATTGGTTCCCATCCATTTCCTCCTCAGATACCGAAAAACCAGAAATATGCATTTCAGAAAAATCCTTAAATGGTCCCTGTGCTAAGCCACTTAGTGCAGGGACAAATCTTTTGCCGACTCGCTATCGCTTCCATCATTTTCCTCTACCCTCAATGCTGCTCCTCTCATCACCGGTCTCCTTGGTTGATTTCCAGTTGCCCTCGCTTGGGGGCAATCCCTAACCATGTGTCCGACTCCTCCGCAATAGAAACATCGGCCCTCAGCTAAGCGGGCGTTTCTTTCAGTAGGGGTGGGGCGACGACGTCCCCCGGACAGATCCATTGGTACATCACCTCCCGGGCGAAACGAGGGATGGTTCTCAGGAGTAGGTGCATTGACAGCTGGGGCGGCCGCGCGAGGGGTAGGCACAGGATTCGCTGATGAGGGACGAGGGGTTGGGGCAGCAGTAGCATTCCAAGGCTTTTTACTTCCTCGTTTAGCTTCTGCCGCTCGACGACGATTGTCCAACCGTTGCAAAAGCATTGCGCATGCATCTACCGTCACAGGAGTTTCATGGTGTATCATTGATTCATCGAGCTCCGCATTAATGCCTTCCATCAAAGCCTCAATCCTAGAGACTTCATCCATCCCTGACTCGGCAGCATACCGTTGGAATTCGGCGAAGTAATCAGCAAAGGTTCGGTTTCGTTGACGGATGTTCCTAAGGTTCCTCCTAGCCGTACGCATTCGATCTGGGTCCCCGAAAGCAGTATCCAAAATTTCATAAAACCGTAACATAGAAGGCAAAGCGATGCCTTCTTCTCCGACATATTGTAAAAACTGATTGGCGGCGACGCCCTCCAGTCGACTGAATGCATAGGATAACTTGGACTGTAGTGTGGGAAAGCGGTCGGCATTTCCCAATAGCTTGATTTTCATCTGTTGCTTGAATAGGTGTAGTCTTTCTCGATCGCGATCTCCCTTAAATAATTCAGGGTCTGGGAGTTTTTCCGACCGTTGGGTGACCACTGGAACAGGTGGAACTGGAGGTACCGGTGGGGCATTATCCTCTCCGATTGGTTCTTCATCAGGGGCAACCACCTCAACAGCGACTCGGTGGGCCCTGGCAGCGGCTAGATC